GTGGCTGTTCGACGAGGCCCAGCTGATCGTGGACAACGTGTACCTCACGGGGCCGCCGGTGCAGGAGGGCCAGTGGCTGTACATCCAGAACATCGGCCGGGAGCTGCGGCACACGTTCAAGGACGTGTCGTGAGTGCGGGCCCCCGTCCGGGGGCGGCGGGCCGCCCGGCTCCGGAGTCGGGGTCCCCAGGGGCGCCAGGGGCGTGCCAAGGGCAGGCCTGGACCTGCCTCTGGTGCGCGCCCACCCTGGGACGCCCCGGCCCCGGGGGGACGGGGAGAGACGTGGGCCGTCTGGGCGAGGACAGGGCACGTCACTCGGTGACAGAGGCCTGTGTCCGCATCGGGGACTGTCGGTACAGGAATCGTCCCAAAGGCACCCCGTGGCGGGGTGTTGAGAATGATTATGAGGGAGAGAGGGCGCACGGGAACTCTGGGTCTCCCCTCTCCTCCGCTTTACTGTGCGTATAAAGCTTTTTAATGAAATAAGGCCTGTTTTTAAGATGACGCAGGACCTGCCCGTCCGGGGTAGCCCCCCACGGCCGGGACCCAAGTGGGACGTGGGGACAGGAAGGCACCGGGGTCAGCAGGGAGCACTCGGGTAGAGATAAGACGTGGGCCGAGGAGCAGCTGCCCAGGCGGGGTGGGGAGGGGACAGGCTCCGCGGGTGGGGGCACGGAGCCGGGAAGGGGGCGAGAGGGGCGGGGCCACTCACCGGCCGTGCGCCCCTCCACACAGGGCCGCCTTCGTCCCCTCCTGCGTCTCCCACGAGATCATCCTCGACAGGTCAGTGCGCCCCGGCAGGCCCACTCATGGCACTGTCTCTGAGCCCACAGAGCCCCCAGCGCCCACCTGCCCGTCCCCCCCCCCCCCGGCTCCCCTCCAGGGCTGCCAGGGCCACGCAGACAACCCACTGTGTGTCGGGGACTCGGTGACAGCACGCCGTTGCCCGCTCTGGCCGCAGCCCGGTGACCCCCCCGCACCGGGGTTCCACCCGCAGCCACTGGACAGACATCCAGGTGAAGGGGACCTCGCTGCCTCGGGCCCTGCACTGCTGGGACAGAAGCCTCCAGGACGGCCCCAAGGCCGGCAAGGCCCCTCTGAAGGGCTGCCCCGTCCACCTGGTGGACAGCTGCTCCTGGCCGCACTGCAACCCCTCCTGCCCCACCATCCGGGATCAGTACACGGGCCAGGAGATGAGCGTGGCCCAGTTCCTGCTGCACCTGGGCGTCGACATGCACACCGTGGCCCAGCAGCAGGGCCTGGAGCCGGGCCGGCTGCTGGGGATGCTGGGCGGTGGGAGCTAGGCCGGCCGCCCGGGGCTGGCCCGCCGCCCTCCTGCCCTCCCGGGGCAGAGAGGGGCCCCCCTGCAGCCTTCACTGCCCCTCTGCCACCGCCGACGGGAGGCCCGGCCGCGCCCGGCGGCCTCGGGACCCCTCCGCCCGCCCACCCGCCAGCCCCGCCCGCCTCCAGCCCACCGGCGGCAGGGGAGCCAGAGCACTGGATTCCCCAGCACCCCCGCCCCCCACGCCCCCAGCCAGCCCCGGCCTCCCCTGCCCTCTCGTATTATTTTATAAAGTGACTTTTTTATTACCTTAATTTTTAAAAAAGGAAAATAAGCAAGAAATATATGATGAATGATATTGTTTTGTAACATATATTTTTAAATAATGAAAAACAAGACAACGAAAGAGCTTCTTCCTGCGAACGTGTTTATTTGGTCGGGAGTTGGCCCACCTTGCACCCCCTCCCCCACCCCTGACCTCCTGCAACCCTGGCCAATGGGGGAGGGGGGCTGGAGGGCTGGGGGGAGGGGGAGGGCGGGTTGTGCACAGCCCACACCCCACCTCGCCTCCCACTCTAGACCCTCCCTGAGGAGGCCCCCCTTCTGCCACTCGCTCAGCTGATGCCGGGCGGCAGACCTTGAACCCGGGGCAGCCGCTCGCAGCTCTGTTTACCCCGGGCCGCCGAGGTGGCCCGCACGGGCGCCCACGGCGCGGTTCCTCAGTGCTGGCTCAGCGTTGGCGCACGCAGAGTCCTGTCACCGCCGGCGACCCCCCGGGCACACGGCCGTCACCACCTCAGAAAAACAGTCCCTCCTCAGCTAGTGCTCTGCGCGCTGGCCCTGTTTCGACTGGGTCACACCTGCGCTCAGCTCCCGGCCTGAACGTGGGGGTCTGAGGGCGAGACGTCCCCCCAGCCCAGGCCCTGGCCCTGCCCCACCCCTGGCCCTGCCCCCCAGAGCAGAGGGGCCAGTCCTCCTGTGGGGGGTCCCAGAGAGCCCAGCCCCCTGAAAGACGTGCCCACACGAGCGTGCACACTCTTCACACACGCCACAGTCACTTCCTGAGGTGCCTTGGGGCCCAGGAGAGCCAGGCTGGTGGGACGGTCCTGGCCAGCGGCGCTGGGCACGAGGGCCAGCGTGTCTCCGGGAGAGTCCCCAGAGATGAGACTGCGTCTCCCCGCCTGTGGGTGGGGCTTCCCCATCGCTCCCTGCATTAAGCACCTGAAGTTGCATCCATTCCCCCCAGCTGCCCTACAGGGAGGTTTTATTGCAAACCCCAATACACAGACAGACAAACTGAGGCCCAGAGAGGCTCCACGGTGGGTTGTAAGGGGTGGAGGTGGGATCCAGGCCTCGTCGGCCCGGGCTCCACTCCTGGCCTCCGCCCACACCTGTGCGGGCAGCCTGGGCCTCGGCCCCGCGCACCTGAGGCCCACGTGCCAGCATGGCTTCCCCGGGTGGAGCTGAGCGGCCCATCCGTGGTCTCCTGGGGGACCCACAGAGCCCCAGTGGGAGACAGTGAGGTGAGCGATGGGGTGGCCGAAGGCGGGAGAAGAAAGGAGGGGGTCCCTAGAGGTAGCTGCTGGCTCGGGGGAGCAGCCCGCCTCCCCAGGATTCCCAGAATGGATGGCCTGAGAGAGTTCCCGCAGGGCGGTGGGCTCCCAGCAGGACGCGGGCCGGGAGGACCCGAGAGCGTTCCCACTGCCACCCACCCGGGGAGACTGTCCCGGCCAAGGGCTGCCACGCAGGCAGAGCAGGGGGTGCGCGGGGGCGTGCGGGGGCCGCTGCCCAGGCGGAGTTCTTCCTGCAGAGACGGCGGCAGGCGCGGCCTCCGCAGGACCCCCGGGATCACACGGCCGGCCGGCCGGCCCGCTCCTGCAGAGGTGGGAGCTGGAGGGCCCGTGGCACCCAACACTTGTGGATCAGGCCCCGAGGGGGTTCGCCAAGTGAATAAACCCTTTGTCCCGGTGGCCCTGTCGGGGTGCGGAGGGAGGAGGAGCAGAGGCCACTCGTGTGTGGCTGGGTTCGCTGCTGGGATCCTCGGAGCCGGGAACTTGGGCTGGATGGTGGTGGCGCCGTGTCCACCTGAGATACGTCGGCTGCTCCCAGCAGCAGGGGGCCCCCGCCCGGCCGCCGTGGCCTGGGGCAGTGGGGTTGGGCCAGGAACACCCGGGAGGCCCACAGGATCCCTCCCGAGGGTGCGCCGGACCTGTGGGCGACCCGCCCCTGAGTGACAGCAAGTGGGTGGGCGTCCCTGGGGTGGGCAGGGCTACTGCGGTGCTCACACTCCCCTGGAAGCCCACAGGAGCCCCCCCCCCCCGCTTTATCACTGCGGGGACTGCTCTGGAGACACCCCAAACAAGCACGTGAGGTCGGGGGGCACTACTCTCCTTTTAAAGGGTGGGGCGTCGCTATTCACAGAGCAGCTGCCCACAGGAACCAGGACCCCCCGGGAGGATGTAGGCCGGGACACTCCCCAACCAGCCGGCCGGGCTGCACCGATGTCACTCCCCCCGCGGTGGGCGTGGTCAGGAGGCTCCGGAAGGTCACCTGGCCGGAACCGACCCACGAGGAGACCGTCCGACTGCACAAGCCAAACGACAGTCTGTGGAGCCAGGGGCCTGGACTTCCCCCGGGCAGCAGAGCGGGGAAACGGCAGGGGGGGCGGGGGGGCTGGGCGGCACAGCGGCCGAGCGCGCAGGCCCCACGGGGCAGGAAGGACAGAGCTGGTTCAGGGCCCGCGTTCGTTCCCGGCGAGAGCCCGAGGGGGCCGTGTCTCCAGACGGACCCTCGTGTCTGCAGAACCGCAGAGCCGCCACCAGCATTGGCGGTCAAGTACCCTTGTGTGTGCGGGGGGGGCAGGGGGCAACGCAGCGGCGACTCCTGCGCCCAGGTGAGAGGGCGTCCACGGTGCCACGGCACAGCGCTTCCGTGGACGTGCAGTTCTCCGGCGGCCGTGGGGCCACGCGCACATGCGGGAGGCGTGTGCTCGCCGGGGCCGGCCGGGCGCCGGGGCCACGGGGACGGTTCTGTGACTTTTCCCACACTGACTGGGCACGTCCAGCCCCTGCGCTCGGGAAGGAATTCGTTATTTTTAAAGACGTTTCGTGCATTATTGATACTGTGGCCTAAAAAATGGGGGGAGTTGAGTTTTTTTCTAGGTGTTTACGTGTCTGGTACAGGGACAAGCAAAAGCTCCGTAACGCCCCCTCCCGCGTAATAAGTGAAGCTCCACCCCAGGTCAGGCGGGGGGCTGTGGGAAGGGGGGGGCACCGGGACCCCTCCCTGCCCCACGGTCTCCCCTGGAGGAGAGCCGAGCGAGGGCCCCAGGAGCAATGACAACGGGTCCCGGAACCGCCTGGGTCTGGGCCAGGCCACCTTCTGGAAGGGCAGGAAGGGACCCCCTCCCCCTCCCCCCTCACAGGTGAGAGCCCTGGAGGCTGCTGGAGCTGAAGGGACTGGGAGCAACCTGGCTGAGCTCTGGATCTCCGCTCTGGGCCCCCCCCACCCTCCCGCCCCGGCGGGCTGGGGAGCCACTGACAGACAGTTGCAGGTGCTGTGGTGGGGGCGGTGCCAGCAGCCCAGGGGTTAATGACCCTGGCAGGGGCTTGGCCCGGACACAGGGGTCAGATGTTCTAGCCTCTGATCACAGCTGCCTATTTATAGCGCGGGGGGTGGGGGGGGGAGCCTTGGCCCTCCCCACACCAGCCGCGGAGAGGCCGCCTGCTGCAGTGTCCCCGCGTCACCGGCTCCGCCACTGCAGGCTGCCGGCACCTGACCCGGCGGCAGCTGAAGGAGACACACAGGGGCCGCAGCCCGGCAGGACCCCGGGCCTCCGCCAGGCGCCGTGCAAGGCAAGGGAGCGGCTGGCTGGATGGGCAGCACCCTGGAGCCCCCCGGGGGCGGGTACCTGCACCTGGGCGCGGTGGCCTCGCCGGTGGGCACAGCCCGCGCGCTGCAGCTGGCCTTCGGCTGCACCACCTTCAGCCTGGTGGCCCACCGCGGTGGCTTTGCGGGCGTCCAGGGCACCTTCTGCATGGCCGCCTGGGGCTTCTGCTTCGCCGTCTCGGCCCTGGTGGTGGCCTGCGAGTTCACCCGGCTGCACGGCTGCCTGCGCCTCTCCTGGGGCAACTTCACGGCCGCCTTCGCCATGCTGGCCACGCTGCTGTCGGCCACGGCCGCCGTCCTCTACCCGCTGTACTTCACCCGGCTGCGGTGCCCGCCCGAGCCCGAGGGCTGTGCGGCCAGGAACTTCCGCCTGGCCGCCAGCGTCTTCGCCGGGCTCCTCTTCCTGGCCTACGCCGCGGAGGTGGCCCTGACCCGGGCCCGGCCCGGCCAGGTGGCCAGCTACATGGCCACGGTGTCCGGGCTCCTCAAGATCGTCCAGGCCTTCGTGGCCTGCATCATCTTCGGGGCGCTGGTCCACGACAGCCACTACGGGCGCTTCGCGGCCACCCAGTGGTGCGTGGCCGTCTACAGCCTGTGCTTCCTGGCCACGGTGGCCGTGGTGGCCCTGAGCGTGATGGGCCACACCGGCGGCCTGGGCTGCCCCTTCGACCGCGTGGTGGTGGTGTACACCTTCCTGGCCGTGCTCCTGTACCTCAGCGCCGCAGTCATCTGGCCCGTCTTCTGCTTCGACCCCAAGTACGGCGAGCCCGGGCGGCCCCCCGACTGCCCTCGGGGCAGCTGCCCCTGGGACAGCCAGCTGGTGGTGGCCACCTTCACCTACGTCAACCTGCTCCTCTACGTCATCGACCTCGCCTACTCCCAGAGGATCCGCTTCGTGCCCACCCTGTAGCCCCCTGGGCGGCTGCCCACCCGCCACTGCTCTGCCAGGTGCCAGCAGGGAGGAGGCCCAGAGGGCCCCTCAGCTCGGGAGGGGCAGGTGGGGGGACAGAGCAGCGGGAGGCCCCGAGTGGGGACACCAGAGGTGCCTCTGTCTGTCTCCAGTCCCCGGCCCGCCCTGGCCCAGCGGTGGTCGCCAGAAGAGGCAGGTGCTGCAGTGACCCCCTTTGCACATGGGCTCACCGAGGCTGGGATTTAGGCGGCCCCGGGGGTCCGTCAGGGTCTGCAGCCCCTGTTCGGGCTGGGTGACTGTTGAAAAGCGGACAGTTCCCAGAGGCGTGGGAAAGAAGTTGGGGGCAGAGCCAGAGCTATGCCAGTGGAGGGCCGTGGGGGCCGGCCCTTCCTCCAGCCTTCAGGGGGCGGCCCCCCGCACCCTGGAAGGACGGCCATCCCAGCAGGGCCCTGCTGGGGTCTGTGTCAGCTCGGAGAGGAGGTGCTGGAATCGGAACCCCAGCTCACATGCCTCCCGCCAGCCACGGGCGTGGTCAGCAGAGCCAGGACTGTGGTGTGGTTACTCAGGGCAGCCTCAGCGGCCGGAGAGGACGCAGGTGGCCTGCAGGGGCCCCCAGAGGCCAGCAGCACTGCCAAGAGCATGCTGAGGAGAAGCTGGGTTCCCGCCCAGGCGGCCCCCCACCACTGGCCTCCACGTAGCAGCTTCTGCAGGGCCTGGGGCAGCCACTGGTGCTTCCCTGGCGCGTGCAGGCCCGGCACCTCCACCTGCTCACGTGCCCGTGTGCCTGGGTGCTGACCTCCAGGGCTGGACAGGGCCACTGCCCGCCGCGCTCCAGACAGCCCCTCCCATTCAAGAGCCCAGCCTGGGCCTGCCCGGGGCAGCCTGCTGGCGGCCTCCGAGCCCAGCGGCCCCTCAGCCCACGGACTGGAGCAAGGCCGCGCACAGGAAATAAACGCTGATGCTGATGCTGATTCCCACCCGGGTCTGGCAAGCAGTCTCGACACCTCCCGGGCCACCCTGCCTGCTGGAGGGCGGCGGCCGTGGGCCCCAGGCCACGCCGGGGTGGGGGAGGGGGGACAGCCTCGGAGGAGGGGCAGGTGGTCTCCTCTCCCTCGGCGAAGAGCACGGAAGAGAGGGGCGAGGCAAGCTTGCCCGTGCCCGGTCCTGGTGGTGCTCAGCACGCACCGCCCCCAGCACTCCCCCCCCCCGGGGGTTTCTGGGGCCCGAGCACAGTGGTGGCAGAGGGGTGCGGTGCCACCATGGGCAGCGGGGCCCAGGCAGGTTCCAGGCAGGGGCTGCAAGGGCCCTGAGCTGGCAGCCGGCAGAGCGGGAGACAGATCGGGCCCCTGCCCAGCAAGGACCGCACTCGGACGGGGAGCCGTACGTACGCTTGGGGCAGGTGTGCCAGGCAGGTCCCCGAAGGGGGCAGGAGCCCAGGTCCTGAGGTGTGACGAGGGACCCCACCCACCGAGGGGAGTCTGCGGTTAGGGGGCACACTTCCAGGTGACAAAGGAGCACGTGGGCCCCCCCTTCCCAGGGCACGCAGGGAGGCCTGGACACCAGTCGTCCTTCCGTTTGCAGCCACACTCCTGGAACGAGATACCTGTGCCAACTTCCCCGTTACCCCACCGCGCAGAGGCCCTCCGCCCACAGCTCTGCACCCACGCCGGATTTCCGAAGTCCACAGGGAGGCAGAGGAGGGAGGGGGCCGGGGCCGCGTGGAGCCTGGAAGGCGCTGGGGACGCGGGCGCTCTCTGCAGACCAGGGGGTCATGCGCTGCGGTTGCTGCAACGTCAGTGCGTTTTTGAAGAAGACGGTTCCGTTCCCGAGTTAGGGACAGTCGGGGGAGCCCGGGGTTTGCTCGGGGTTTGCTCGGGCTGCTTCCCGGAGCAGCCCCGCCCTGGGAGGGCGGGGACTAACGGCCAGGACAGATGCCACTCAAAGGCCTGGAACTCTGCCATGCGCGGGATCAGTGCGCAGGCTCGGGCGGTGGTCACCGTGTGGACGAAACGTCTGGGTTTCTGAGGCACAAACGCGGTTTAGGCCTGCCCACCGTCTGACCCAGCACAGGGGCCCAGCCCTTCCCCCGGCAGCAGATGGGTTGTCCACGAGGGTCACTTCTCTCTTCTGCTTTGCCTTAACCCTGCTGCCAACTGGGACCCCAGCTATCCCAAACCAAACTCGGGTGAGCCCTGAGAATGACCCTGGGGGGGAAAGTGACTGGGGCCACGCTCCCCCAAAACTGCCCCAGGCCCTGCAGACAAGATGGCAGCAGACCTTGGGGGCTTCCTGGGAACCCGGAGGCACTGTGGGGGTCGCAGTCTTTCTTCTGTTTGCCCTCCCCCTCAGTGGCCTGATGGGCCAGTTGACATGGCAACAGGCCTAGTGGGCGTGTCGGGCCGCTTTCAAAGGGGGCTGGGCCCAGAGGAGACCTGTGGAGGAGAACCCCCGGGTGGGAGAAGCAGGGGCCCCAGGGAGTGGCCTACACGTCCCAGGTGCCTGCGGGTCTGAGAAGGCTGGGCTCTCCCGCCACTGGCCCAGCCTCCTGGTAAAACGGCAAAACAAAAACAAACCAAAACAAAAAAAAAAACCAAACTCCTAAAAAGATACAGTATCGAACTAGTGATACATTTTAAATGTTTCCACTTGGCAAACTGTTTCTAACCTCCCTCCCCACCCGTCCCCTCCCAAATCCAAGAAAGCAAGCAAGAAAAGACTCTGCCCAGTGGGGGTCCTGCGAATGGGATCGTGTTCCGGACTCACAGCCGGCGTCTGCCACGGGTGGCGGCCACCAGCCTGACACACTCGTGTCCGTGCGGCCCACGACGGGGCCCCGCGGGTGGTGTCGCCCTGCCCAGGGCCTCTCCTTGAGAACCTCACTCCCACCGCCCCTTTCCGCCCACCCCGCGTCCTCAGTCCCCACGCACGGTCCCGGGCCCGGATCTGGGGTTGGGGGGGCGGGTCAGGGGCCGAGGGCCCAAGGGACGGGGGTCCTGAGGGACGCGGGTTCGGGGTGGGGTTTCTGGAGGCCTGGATCCGGGGTGCGGGGTGGGCGCAGGGGTCCCTGGGCCTGCTGTGGGGGAGGGGGCGGGGAGACCCGGTGGGGCGACCCCGTGGGGCCAGCGGGGGCGTGGGCCCGGGCGAGAGGATGATGCAACCCCCCTCTGCGCCGCCCGCAGCCTCCGATTGGCCGGCGCCCCGGCGGCCGCGCTGTGGATTGGCTGGAGCGTCGGAGGCGGGGCCGGCCGGCGCGGATGCCGCGTGGCTGGCGCCGCGGGGTGGGTGGGGGGCGGCTGGCGCTGGGTGACTCGGCCGGGGCTGGGGTCCGGCTCCCGCAGGTGGGTGGCGCTGCCGGGCAGCGCGGACGCGCGTGTTCGTCCCTGGGCACCGGGCGGTGGGGTGCCAGGACAGGAGGGTCTTGCCCCTGGGGGGCCTCCGGGCGCCGGTCGGTCGCCCCCCGCGGCTCCCCGGACCCCGTGTGTAGGCCGGCGCCCTCCTCCCGTCTCCCCGTGTGTGGGACGCTCGGGAGTAGATCGGGGACGCTCTTGCAGGTGGGAGACCGGAGCAGTTACCGGGCCCGAGGCTGCTGGGCCACCCAGGGGAGAGTTGGAGCGGACGGGGTGAGGGGCGCCGGCCGTCGGTGCAGCGGCGGGGCCCGGCCCGGCCCTGCTAACTTGTTGCTCGGGGTCCTGCCCCGCCTCCTCCCGCAGCTGCTCCGGCAGAGCAAGGGCCAGCTCTGAGCGTGTGGGCGCGCCGGCGGCACCATGAGCGTGGGCTTCATCGGGGCCGGCCAGCTGGCTTTTGCCCTGGCCAAGGGCTTCACGGCAGCAGGTAGGCCCCGTGGCCAGGAGGGGACCCGGAGCGGAGGGTGGGCGGTTACTCCTCTGTGGCCTGGGGAAGGAAGGGGCCTGGGTTGGATAACATGCCCCCCAGGATGGGTGGGGTGGGGTGGGGCGGGGCGGTGGTCCCTCTTGCCCTGGGCGGTGGGGTTGGGACTCTCCTTCCCGGGAGTGTGGGTCAGGGAGGAACTCTGTCCCTGCAGGCGTCCTAGCCGCCCACAAGATAATGGCCAGCTCCCCAGACATGGACCTGGCCACGGTTGCGGCACTCAGGGTAGGTTGACAGGGCGGCTGTCCCCGCAGGGGCCGGTCGGTGAGTCTGATGCCGGGAGGAGGGTTGGGACAGCCTTGACCCCGGAGGGCCGGGAGCAGTGGCCCAGGCACGGTGAAACTGCCCCCCACCCCAGCGAGAGGAGGGGCCTGGGCCAGAGCACCTCACAGGCCCAGCTCTGCTCTTGGGACCGGGGTCACAGACGCAAGTGCGGCTGCTGGGGCCGGGTTGCTGGTCTGGAACGGGGTGCTCTGGGGGGCCAGGCAGGCAGGGCTGCAGTGTGGGGCCAGGTGAGATACGTCTGGGCTGATACAGCTTCGTTTTGCCGCAGCTGAGTTAGGGCTCTGGATCCAGGGGTGGGGCAGGCGCCCGGCTTGGGACCATGGCTCACACCCAGAGGGCCCGGCGGGGGACGGGGGCTGGGGCTGCAGCCCATGGTGGGGTGGGCCAAGGCTGCGGCACGGACACCGCGTCTTTTTTTCTCTTTGCAAAGAGAACACATTCCAGAGCAGGACGCTTCCTGCCCTCTGGGACGAGAGAGGTGGTTGTGGGGCGTCACCAGCCTCGGTGCTGGTGCTGGCCCACAGGACAGCCCGCGGCTGGGACGGGGCAGGGATGCGGAGGGTCCAGCCGGCTGTGGCCACAGACAGGCTGAGCCCGCCTCGTCACTCCCCGCAGAAAATGGGGGTGAACCTGACACCCCACAACAAGGAGACCGTGCAGCACAGCGACGTGCTCTTCCTGGCTGTGAAGCCCCACATCATCCCCTTCATCCTGGACGAGATCGGTGCCGACATCGAGGACCGGCACATCCTGGTGTCCTGTGCGGCCGGCGTCACCATCAGCTCCGTCGAGAAGGTGGGTGCCGCGGGTCCAGGCCCGGGGGGTCCGGGGAGGGGATGGCAGTGCCCGCTGCAGAGGGCTGCACTGCAGAAGGCTCGGGGCTCCGGCCCCCTCGGCGCCGCTGTTCTGCCTCCGTGAAATGCGCGTGGGGGCCCAGCCCTCACTGAGAACTCCAGAGACGCTCAGCAGGGAGGGAGGGTGCTCACTCGGGCACCCGGCACAACCCGCTGGGCGTGGGGCCGCGGCGGACACACGGCTGTTTTTCCCTGCAGAAGCTGACGGCGTTCCAGCCGGCCCCCAAAGTCATCCGCTGCATGACCAACACCCCGGTGGTGGTGCGGGAGGGGGCCACCGTGTACGCCATGGGCACGCACGCCCAGGTGGACGACGGCAGGCTGCTGGAGCAGCTCATGGGGAGCGTGGGCTTCTGCACGGAGGTGGAGGAGGACCTGATCGACGCCGTCACGGGCCTCAGTGGCAGCGGCCCGGCCTACGTGAGCCCCGGGGGTGGTGGGCAGCGGCTGCCTGCGGCGGGAGGGCCTCGGGGCACACCTGTCCACCCTTTCCCCTGCCCGGGCCGCCAGGCGGCCCTCTCCCCGAGGAGGGGAGGCCCGGGACAGTGTCTCAGGCGCCTTCTCCCTGCAGGCGTTCACCGCCCTCGATGCCCTGGCTGACGGGGGCGTGAAGATGGGGCTTCCCAGGCGCCTGGCAGTCCGCCTCGGGGCCCAAGCCCTGCTGGTCAGTACTTTTCCGGACCTTCTTTGGGGGAGCGAGGCTGGTGCCCTGGGGTGGGCGAGTGGAGGGTCGTGGGGTGCCGCTGGGGCTGGGGTCAAGTGCCCTGCGGACCCGGGCGGGTGCCCTCACAGCCATCGGCACCGCTCTCTGCCCACAGGGGGCTGCCAAGATGCTGCTGGACTCGGAACAGCACCCAGGCCAGCTCAAGGACAACGTCTGCTCTCCTGGAGGGGCCACCATCCACGCCTTGCACGTGCTGGAGAGTGGGGGTTTCCGCTCGCTGCTCATCAACGCGGTGGAGGCCTCCTGCGTCCGGACATGGTGGGCCCCCGCTGCTGCCTGCCGCCCCCGGCCGCCCACACCGGGGCCCTTGCCTTGCTCGAGCCTGCTCGGTCCTTCACACGGCCGATGGTGACCGCGCTCTGGCCTGGTAGTGGGTGGGGCACGGGGAGCCCTGAGGTCCCCCGGGGCAGGGTTTGTGGTGTTCCCCACCGTTGTCCTGCCAGGGAACCTCTGTGGGCTGGGTGATAACCCTGCCTCCTGGCCTGGCTAGGGAGATTAGCAGGTTAGACACCCAGGAGGTGGCGCGGCGCCCCGGCTCTGCAAGGGCTGGAAGGAAGCCAGGGCGGGGGCGGACGGCATGTGGTGTCAGGCTCAGCCTCACGGTCCCTCGTTCAGGGCCTGCGGGTGGACAGGCATCTTTCTCGCCCCAGGGGCTCACCTTCCAGTCCGGATCCCCAGGCCCCTCCGCGTGCCACTGTGTATCGGCGAGGCCAGGGCACAGAGCCGCCTTCCCGGCTCCAGCCAGCAGGGGGGGCGGGCCAGGCACACGTCCTGGGCTCAGAGGTGGGGGCTCTGGGTTTGGCGGCTCTGAGCCGATCTGAGCGAGGTGGGAGCAGGCCAGGCAGCAGTGCGGGGGAGGGTGGCTGGCAGAGAGGTGCGGGTGCCAGGGGCCTGGGCTGGCGGGTGCTGGGGCTGTGCGCCTGTCTCCCTCGTCCTGCATGCATACTCGGGCTCGGGGGGCCGGTGGAGCCCTGCACCCAACCCCCTTCATGCCCCACCAGGGAGCTGCAGTCCATGGCCGACCGGGAGAAGGTCTCACCAGCCGCCATCAAGAAGACTGTGCTGAACAAGGTGAAGCTGGACGCTCCTGCTCTGGGCCACTCCAAGCTGCCCCCCTGCAGCAAGGCCCCAGCGGGCAAGAAGAACTGAGATGTCCCACCCGCGGCCGCACCAGGCTGCCCTCCGCCTTCTCTCTCCTGGGCTCGGAGGTCTGCGCTGCGTGTCTCTGGCCCCAAGCCACACGGGGTGTGTGGACCTCGTGGTGGCCCACTGCCCCTGGCTCTGGTCCACTTGGGTCAGCCAGGGTCACAGGCAGAGAGGGGGCACGTCACTTCCCAGTGGGAATCTCCCTGAGTGCCTCCTGGCCCACGAGAGGGATGGGCCTTCTGAATTCAGTCTCCCCCTCCTTCTGTCCCCAAATCGAGTCAGGGCCACTTCCTGGGGGCGCAGAGGGGTTTCACACCCCGGAGTCCCATGGCTCGGGGTTTGACCTCTTCCTGAGCACAGAGCACAGAGGTCCCCGGCCTTCCCTCCCCGAAGTCCTGGCCACGGGGAGAGCTCTGCCCCGTGCCCGCCACCTCCCCACCCTCCACTCGTGGGACGGGGGCGCCGTCTCTGGGTGGGAAGGACCAGAGATCCCCATGCACCCTGAGTGGAGCGGGAGGGACCGTGGCTCCGCTTGGCCAGCTGCCCACGACCCCTGATCCCCACTGGACATTTGAGAAACGGCTCCCCACACAGCTGGACTTCCAAGGCTGCCAGGATACTCAGGCCACTCTCTCCCATTCCTGATTTGACCCACAGGTGCTGTCACTTGTCTCCCTGACCCTTTAGGTTAAATAAATTACTTTCCAGTCCAGCGTCCTAACTTCTAACTTTGTCACCGCGTGTGGAGGGGCACCCCCAGCTGCCCCAGAGGGTCATTGCTGTTGGGGGTAGCACGGGGTCCAGCCAGTAGCCCATGGCCCAGAGCCCTTGGTTCCCTGGCAGCCAGGCTGCGGGTGAGGGGTAAAGGGGAACCCCCGCCCCCGAGCAGCGGGGACGCAGCCTCTGGGGAGAGAGAGGCTCAGCCTCTCAGGCCTTGGGCGCTGGGAGTTGGCACCATAGGCTGGGCCGGGCGTGCCCTGCTGCGAGAGGGGCACCAGCCTCTACATCCTGCAGGCCCCCTGACTCAGTAGGGACACATTTCTGCTTGACTCACGCAGGCACGGGCAGGTGGGCCCTAGAAGACTAGCTGTGTTAGGGTTCTGCAGGGAAACAGAACCGGCAGGACGTGGAAAAAGATTTCAGTACACACACGAAGAGGTTTGCTTCAAGGAAGTGGTCGGCACAACCATGGAAGCCAGCAAGTCCCTTCTGCAGGGCGGGCTGGCGGGCTGGCGGGCTGGGTCCCCGGGCAGCTGGCGTTCAGCGACCACGAGGCAGGGGGAGCAGGCCTGCTGGCCCGTCTGAAGACGGAGAATTCTCCTGGGAGGCTCCCTCTCTGTGCAGTTGGGGCCTGCAGCTGATTGCGTGAGCCGCACCCACGCCAGGGAGGGCGGAGGGCGGTCTATAGCAACCTACCGATTTAAACGTTAATCTCCTGCAAAAATAGCCTCAACGGAAACAGCGTATTTGACCCAATATTTGGGCATCTCTGACCTGGTCACATGGACACATACAATTACTTCTCACTGGAGGCCCACAGCATCGGAGGGGCTGACAAAGGGCAGGACCCTTTATGGGACCAGGAGGGTCGCCATCTGCACAACCAACGAACAGGTTCAGAGCATGGACACAGCAGGATGAGGCCCCTTGCCTCCGACGCTGTGGATGCTCCCCGCTGCCCCACCTACCCCCGCAATTGGGCGTCTGTAATATGTGCATCGGTCGGGAGCACCCAGGCCAAGGTGTGGCTTTCCCCTGAGGGGCGGGAGGGGGTGGCCAGGAGAGCCCCGGAGGACCCGCATTGCAGTTCCTTGTGTCATCTGTCCCCTTCCCCTGGGCCCGCTCAGAACCAAGGCCCAGGGCACGTGGGTGGAAGGATGGGGCACTTTGGGGACAAAGGAGGAAAGGGCAACAGGAAAAAACGGAAGAGCACGCACGACAGAAGAAACAAGGGTCACGAAGGCGTTCCCGGTCTCTGCCAGGGTGGCCTCCAGGGGCCTGGCCCCTCCCCTTGCACCCGCTGCCTGCGGCCAGTGCTGGGCCTGGGGTACTTGTGGGACCTTGTGTCCCCGCGCGGCTCTCCTAAGGCGAGAGTGCCAGGCCCAGACCGCCACCCCGCGCAGGTGGCAAGGGGCCTCTTGGACACGTGGCCTCCCAAAGTGTCAGCACACAACGGTCAGGAGAGCGGCTGGGCAGGCCAGGAGACCCCGCCTTGAAGGCCGGGAAGGGGGGCGTGGCCGCCGGGGAGCGCGCGCCAGCGCCAGTCCCGCGAGACCCCGCCGGGCAGGGAGCGCTGCGCGTTGCCGGGGCGACGGAGCCCGTGTACGCAGGCGCAGTGCGACCTCGCCCCGCCCCCGCCGCCGCCGCCGGCGCGCCTTCCCCTTTAAGCCCCGGCCGGTCGCGACGCCGCTTCATGAATGGAGCCCACGTGACCAAACATCATGTGACGTCTGTGGAGCGGCGGCGGCGGCGGCGGCGGATCCCGAGCCTGGTCCAGCCCGGCCTTCCCAGCGCGCTCGGCTCGGCCCGCGCAGGCGGCGAGCCCCCATCCCGGGCCCGGAGCCCCCGCGCGGCCCAGTCCCGCGCAGCCTCCGAGCGACCGCCGCCCCCCGTCCCGCCCTCGGCTCGCCTGGGCCCACAGTGTGTTGGGTGAGTGCGGCGGCGGGCCCGGCCGGGCGGGGGGTAGCGGGCGGCGGGGGCTCCGGGCCCGGGTGCGGCCGATTGGGCCGCGGCTCTTCCTAGTGGACCCTAGAGGCATGGGCCGAACGCTCCTGGCTTCGGGTCTGCCCCGCGCCCTGCTGGCGGCCCGTGCCTCGATTTCCCCGCCGGGCAGGGCACTGCTAGCCCCTGCGCCCGGGGTGCTGGGGGGTGGGCCGCGTCGTTGGCGAAGGGCGGGCGGGCGGGGCGGGCGCGCGCCTCGCTCAGTGGAGGCTGGGGCGTCCTGGAAGGAGGGGCGGCCAGGGTGGCGGGAGGAAAGGGTGGGGTCGACAGGGGTGCCCTGGGCTTCGCCGAGGAGCCCGGTGGCCTCGGCCCGAGCTGCTGATTCATCAGGTGTCTGTGTCTGCTCCTTGCCAGGCGCCGGGGCCCTTGGCGGGCCGGGGGAGGGCCGGCGTGCGGGGGGGCGCTTTGAAGACCCCGCTCGCGCCGGCTCCGCTCCGTCACACGCGTGCCAGAGCCCGAGGGAGACTTGCTGAGTCATCAGCATGAGGTCACTCGATGCTCATCCCGGTGCCTGGGGGGATTTGCGCCGGGGCCGGGGGCCTGGAACGGCGAGGCGCGAGAGGTGGAAGGGACCGTGAGGACGTGGGGATGTGGATGGGGTTGGGCCCAGTGGCTGCGGAGCCTTTTAAAGTGTGGGCTAAGGTGCGAGTCGCAGGCCGGGTGGTGAGGAGGAAGTGGGGAGAGCCGCGATGAGGTAGACCGTGAAGCCCCTGACCCGTCCATCGCCTTCCGGCAGGCTTTTCCCAGGCAGCCGGTCCCCGACCCACGTCTGGGACAGTTCCCCAAACTGGGAAATAGTTCTCAGAGTGAGAGAAGGGGAGGAGCTTAGAGGGGCCGAGCGAGGGGCCGGGAAGCGGAGGCTTTCCCTGTGACTGGTCTGGTCCGCGGGCTGCGCGCCCTTGGGCGGGGAAGAGAGGAGTGCATTGACCAGAGAGGGAGTCGGAGGCTGGGCAGGTCTGCAGGGAGGGGCGGCCTGGGAGGCGGGAGGAAAGGGTGGGGTCCAGCGGGGTGCCCAGGGCCCTGGGAGAGAGCTGGGCGAGAGTACACCTTGTTCCGAGGCCTGGGCGACAGTGGACGGGACTGACTGCTGGCAAGGAGGCACGGCTCTACCAGGAAATTGCAAATGAGAGGAAGCAGCAGGACTTAGGCGTTGGGGACCGAGGTGCCTGGCGAGCAGGTCCTGCCCTCTTTGCTGCCGGGCCCTGGGGCCTGGGCTGAGGCCGCAGGTGGCGGGAGCTGGAAGGGCGTCGTGTAGTCTTCAGGACACAGCAGGTGCGCTGGGGTGGGGGGGCGGGATACAATTTCCTGTCACCCCCGAGTTGTCCCCTGGAGGTTGGGGCTCCGTGTCGAGCAGGTTAGCAGGGAATGTATTCCTGTTTGGTGTCTGGCCAGGTGTTGTGGACTGCTGGGAAGTGACAGCTGGAGGGTGGTGTGGCCTGGGCCACCTCTCCGGGGGGTGTGGGTGGTGCCCGGCCTCGAGGATGCGAGGTGTTTCGTATAGACCAGAGCGGAGGACCCTGTTTGCACCGGGGCTTCTGGCTAGATTGGGCTGGCATTGCGCTGTGTCTTCAGGGATTCGCCCCACTGCCACACACCTTCAGGGTGGGGCGAAAGTAGGCTGTTGTGAGCACGTGAGACAGTGTATTCTGGTCAAATTCGTTGGTGTCTCATTTTCCGTGCGAATCCCTGGGAACCTAGTTTTGCCCCACCTGGTGCACACGGCCCCGGGGCTTAGCAATGCCAGATGTTTCGGCACCTCAGCTGGTGTTTTGGCTAGAATTTTGTGCCTTAGGAAGATGCAGATTCCCGGAGAGATGTTTCTTTAAGGCTTCCCAGTTACTTATGCTTTGGTGGAAGTTAAGTTTTAGACCCTTTTCAGAGTGGCTTGCAGTGGCTGAGAGCTTCTGGGAGGCGGTCAGAAGAGAGTAGGGTGGAAGTGAGGCTGGCTAGGTTGGGGTGCCAGACTGGCGCCCAAGACCACGCTTGCCTGGGAGGTGTGGCTGCCGGGGTTTGCCGGCCAGGAGAAGGAGCAAGAGCCGGCTGTCTCGTCTCCTGCCTGGAGTCCATGCCCTGGACTTGGGCCCCGGGGAGCAGGGCTGGGCCACCTGGACCTCTTTCCCTTTCCTGCCTGGCTCTCGGCCTGAGTGGGTGGTCCAGGGTGCTCTGGAGGCTTAGGCACATCTGGGTCTTCTCCACAAGGCAGACCGGGCCTCTGGGGGAGCTGAGATGGGGGAGGACTGGGCCCCAGCCCCGAAAGCACCTTAGGGCTGGGGAAGAGGGCGCAGGGGGTGGGGCGGAAGGGAGATTCCTGATCAGCCTTTGGGATCCGCTCTGCCTGGCTTCTAGAGGTGCTCGGAGCCCTTGGTCCCATCCTGTCCCCGAGGCCGTCTGCTGGGTCTCTGTGTGTCCCCAGGTGGGAGGAGGCCGGAGGCTGGCAGCCCCGGCTTTGCGGAGGCCCGCCCCTCCCCCCGCGCACTCCTGCACACCTTTGATTCGGAGGCCACGGCTGCGCTTGTGCTGAGTCCAGGCCTTCTGCGGAGGGGAAATCTGTCGAGAAGGCACTTTTCTGTGTGATCTCGTCAGGAAGTCACCGCTGCGCTCAGCACAGGGGGTGGGGGGAGCGAGGCGGTGGGAAAAGCTGGTGTCGGGGCTTCTCCTCCCGCAGACAGCGGTGGGACCCTGGGCAGCGTCCCTGCCCTCCGGCCTGTGCTCCCGGTGCCCAGGGTGGGCGTGGCCCTCAGGGCCGTCCAGCCTCCAGCTCTGGTCTCGCCTGCTCTGCCCTGGAAGAGCCAGGCTCTGGGGCAGCCGGCCTGCCTGAGACCCTCGGTGGCCTGGCCGTGGGGAGACGCCTCCGGCCTCCTGGTGCGGGGCTGCGTGGGGTGGGGCCGCCCGGGAGCCCACTGTGCTTCCACTTCCCCAGCTCGTACTCCAGCGCCCTGTGAGGATCATAGCCCCGCCCTGGCCAAGCCAGAACTGCCTGGAGTTCTGTGGCTTCCCCCAGGTGGGAACTGGGGGCGGCTTAGCAGTCCAGCTGTGCACCTGCCTGCATCTGACCTGGAAAGCAGAATGCAGAGCGTGGGGCAGGGGCCGCAGGCCTGGGGGCGGTGTGCCCCGCTGGGGGTCTCAGCACGAGGTGTGCAGAGCTGTTCTTGGCAGGGCTGTGGGAAGCAGAAAGTGAGGAGGGTGTGGGAAGGGTGACCAAGTGGGTGGCGGGGGCCCTCTGGTCCAGCCACCTAGCCCTTTTGCTTCTGTTGTCTGCCCTGTGGGTGCTGACTCCGATGGGGGGCCAGAGAGCCGGTCATCGCCCAGTGGGGCTGAGCTGGCCCCCAGGGGTCTGACTGCGGGCACTCTTGTGAAACACCCTGGACGGGGAGGGCAGGGCCGGGAGATGCTGCAACCCGAAGCCGCAGGGTGGTTACTCCATCAGCTGTGGGTGCCGCGTCGTGCCTGCCACCCGGAGGGTGGGCGAGCCCCTGCCAGGGCCAGTCGGGTGGCCCGCCTGCCGCTCTTCCAAGTGAGAAGGCTCTGGGAGGACCGGGAACCCCCCTGCTGTCCCCTCCGCCCGAGTCCCCAGCGGGGGTGGCCCCTAAGCCTTCCTGGGAGTGGGCCTTTGTCCCGGGCGACTTGGGCGAGAGGGCTGTGGGAGGTGGGCCCCAAATGCACATGTGCAGGGTGGCTGGCCCTTGCCCTCACCTGCGGCGGCTGCTGGCCTTTCTGGCCCCAGCAGCTTTCCTGGCTGCCGGTCCCCTGGGGCCGCGCTGGCTCTGGGCCTGGGAGCCCGGCCGGGGAGGGAGCAGAGGGATGTGCTGAGTCAGCATGACTCGCCAGGAAGAGCCGCTCTGGGCGCGCACTGGGGCTATTTTTAAAGCCGTGGGCTTCCTTCTAGGCTGGCCCCTCCTGCACCCTTCTAATCTCTCCCCCAGCCCCTTTTCTGGCCTTGGCTCTTCCCACAGCCCTCCAGTCCCCCCTTCCCCTCAGACCCTCCTGGCCTCCCACCTGGTTTCCTAGGGGCGGGGCAGGCAGGGAGGAGCCCGGCTCGGGAGAGGCGAGGACGAAGGGCAGTCCCCGGGGCCAGGTGTGTGGGAGCGGGCAGGTGGAGGGACAGAGGGGAAGGGGTGGCCTCCAGGATCCTGACCTCTGCCCCCTGTCTCACAGAGTGCCTGCCTGCCGAGCCCCCGGGTTATGACGACCCCCAATAAAGGAAACAAGGCCTTGAAGGTGAGCGGGCAGGGTGGGCACGCCTTGGGGCTGGGGCGGGGCGGCGGCTGCCCGGCCGTGACCGAGTGTGCTGTGCCGCCCCCAGGTGAAGCGGGAGCCTGGCGAGAATGGCACCAGCCTGACGGACGAGGAGCTGGTGACCATGTCGGTGCGGGAGCTGAACCAGCACCTGCGGGGCCTGTCCAAGGAGGAGATCGTGCAGCTGAAGCAGCGCCGGCGCACGCTCAAGAACCGCGGCTACGCCGCCAGCTGCCGCGTGAAGCGGGTGACGCAGAAGGAGGAGCTGGAGAAGCAGAAGGCGGAGCTGCAGCAGGAGGTGGAGAAGCTGGCCTCGGAGAACGCCAGCATGAAGCTGGAGCTCGACGCCCTGCGCTCCAAGTACGAGGCCCTGCAGAACTTCGCCAGGACCGTGGCCCGCGGCCCCGTGGCGCCGGCTCGGGGCCCCCTTGCCGCCGGCCTGGGGCCCCTCGTCCCCGGCAAGGTGGCTGCCACCAGCGTCATCACGATAGTAAAGTCCAAGACGGACGCCCGGTCGTAGGGACGCGCACTTGCGCGGGCGGGTCTGCGAGGGGCCACTAGGCGTGTGTGATTTCAGCAGCCCTGCCCCCTTCCTCCTCTGCCCTCCCTCCCCTCCTCCCTCCTCCCCTCCCTGCAAAGCACAACCCGCACCCCAGGGGCGCCGGGCTGAGCCCCTTGATCTCGTCGTTGTCATCGTGTGTTTTGTGTGTTGGGATTGGTCAGTTCGGCGGTGACGTGGGGTCACCCAGCCCACTCCGCGCCAAGGCCACGTGGGCTCCAGGTGCGGAGTTGGCCCCGTGGGGACGGATGGAGAGACGGAGCGGCCGTGGGGCCCCAGCGTCCCGAGCCGGGGCCACTCCAGGGCAGGAGGGCGCTCCGTTCCGGGCGGCCCACGGGCCCTGGCAGCGGCCGGGCTGCCGGGATGCGGGGCGGTTCGCTCGCAGCTCGGCCAGCAGGCATAGGTGGGCTCTGCCTCGAGGAGCCGGGTGTCCTTGGGTGCCCTGGACGGGCGGCCCGGCGGGGGGAGCGGTGTCGGCGGGGGGAGCGGTGTCGGCGGGGGGGCCCGGGCCCGTGGCGCGCTCGCCTGGCGCGCTTTACTGAAGGAGACCGAGCGGCTGGCGGTGCGCGCGAGAGCGTGAGGGCGTCCAGTGTCCTGCGGTGGGCCCCGTGTCACTGTTTACACGACCTGTCTGTGTGGTTACATAGCCCTTTATTTAAAGAGAGAAGTTTCTTTTACGAAGTTATTAAATTATATGTTTAAAAGCTAAAGGAAAAAAAAAGCTGCAGAGTATTTATAAAACTGTCTTTTTACAAAAAACAAACAAGAGCATTTGACCGTATAAATGGAAAAGGGAAAGAAATATAATAGAAACTTTGCTAGTTTAAAAAAAGAAGAAAAAAAAGCAAAAAAAAATCCCTTTCTTGTAAACTTACAGACAAGTCTTTGTGGCTGTTGGAGTTTAGTTTTTATATACACAGAGTTATCAGATGTTATTTATAAAACTTAGTTTAAAAAAGACAAAAGACAAAAAAACAAAAAAAGCCCAGCTGCGAGCGACCAGAAGGCGCGCCCGCCGCCCTCTTTGCTGACTCTTCTGCAATTGTACCGAAAGTGACTTACTCCCCGCCCCTCCCGCTTCCGCCCCCTGCCGGTGCCCGTGCCGTGTCGTCCTGCCTGGTGAGGTCTTGTGCAGCGTCTCGTGCTGGTGCTTCTGGTGACCTTTGACCTGTGGGTGTCGCTTCTCGTGTCCGTTCTCCCGTGTTTGTTTTCGGAATTGGTTGTGTTTTGCTTCTGCTGGCTTGCAGGGCGCAGGCTGGGGTGCCGGGCAGGGCCCGCTCCGACAGTTTCGGGGGGTGGGGTGGGCGGGGGGGAGGTTCTGTGCCCACCAGCCCAGTGCCTGGTGTCTTCGACCTCGCTGCCCGCTCCAGGCCTCCAGGAGGTCTGATTCAGGGCTCTGGCGCCCCCAGACCTGCTGCCCTTGGCTTCGCATGTGTGTGTCAGGCTTGGGCTGATCCAGCGGCAGCAGGGTGGGTGAAACTGGGGGCTGTCCCGGGGGCCCCGCACGCTGCTTCCGTGCTCGCCACCTCTGGCCCCGGGTGGGGGCTTTGCAGAGACCAGGGAGTCACTGTGGGTGCCCGCAGGGCCACAGCCAGACGGCCCGCCCTGCCTGTCTTCCTTCTGGGGTTCGGTTGCCCCGCCCCGGCTCTGGCCGCTGCACCCCACTTTGTTTCACATGGGCCTCAGCCGGGGCACCCAGGGGCCTACTGACCCCAGAACTGCTTCCGTGCTGCGGGGTGGTGCTTCCTAGGCAGAGCCGGGCGGTTCCGGGGTCCACCTGGGGCAGCCCCTGGCGCCTGCCTGAGGGCCTGGGGTGGCCACCGGGGCCGGACAAGGGCTGCGTCTCCAGGGCCAGGGCCCTCCCTTCCTCTCCCTGAACACGTTGGCAGCTCTGGGCTTCCGGCCTTCTTCCGCCTCCCTTTGGGGCCCATCTTCCAGGGATCCGATGCTTGGCTTGTGGGGGTGCTGGTCTCCGGGGCTGAGCCTGCCCCCCCATCCTGGCCTCTGCCGGTGAAGGCCGCCGGTTTCCCATGCCTGGCCGGGAAAGCTCCTTGTAGTCACAGGAGCCTGCGCTGTCCGTCCCCAGGAGGCCAGTGCCATCTCCAGGGGCAGCCGCCTCTGCGTGGGGCTGCCGGTTGGCTTCTCCGGGGCCCCTGAACGCCTGTGAAAGCACAGCAGTGCAACAGTGCGGCCTGGCAGGGTGTCAGCTGGCGGGCAGCTGGGTTTTCATCCCAGTGATCGGCCCCGCGCCTGTGGGGCAGGAGCAGGGGCGTGGTGTCGGCTTCCACCTTGTCAGTGGGCTTCCCTGGGCCCAGATGTTTGCAGACTCTCCCGGCTGCACCTGGGTCGCCTGCCAGGCTGGTTTTGACGGTTGGCGCCAGACCGCTCGGTGGCGTCCTCCCCTCCAGTCTCTGCCTCTGTCTTGGGGTCCAGACAGAGGTTGTTGGTGGTTGTAGCAGCAGTGCCCTGGAACCAAATTGTAACGACCCCTAAAGAGAGGTCGTGCCCAGTCCCGGTGCTGAGAGGGACAGGCCCTCCGTGGCCATTCACCGTCCCCACTTGTGTCCCAGCTGGGAGGCGGTTGTCCGTCTCCGCACACCTCGGCCAGGCTGCGGACCTGGGGAATGGAGGGAAGAGGTGGGTGAGGAAGGAATGAGGAGGGCTTTCCGGCGGGCGGTGCTGAGCAGAAATGGCAGGTCCTTGGTTTGGTGTACAGGAGAAGCGCCCGGAGTCAGTGAGGACGTGGTTCCTTTCGGAGTTTCTGGGCGTGAAGCAGCTGCCCCTGGGTCGGGGGGGGCGCCCCGCTCCCACGAAGCCTGCCCTGCAGGGCCGCCCCCCCCCCCCCCGTGCCCCCTCCCTCGGTTTCTCGACAGCAGGTTCTGTGTCCATGTGCGGCTGGTCGGTGTCTTTCTGGTTCTTGTTGGTCAGGTTTCCCTGCTGTGAGGGTGTCGTGTTCCCTCTTCCTCCGCTCAACTTTTTTGACACAGCAAATCGAGGGCTTCGGCCAAAGCCACGGCTCCCAAATGTGTCCACTAAGTAAACCATACTGTGCCCCTCCCCGCCCCCCTCCCGCCCACCTCCTCCTCGACCCCAGAACGGACACTCAGACTTCAGAGAGCCTTGTGGGAGCGGGTCTGCTTTTTCCCCCCGAGCTCGCCCCAGGGAGCCCTCCCCCAACCCCTGGCTGCTGCTCCAGGCGGCACTGCCCTCCGTGCGGGCGAGACGGCATGGCTGCTCAGTGGCATTTGGGAGGTGTGCTTCTTTCTGACGGGGGCTTTTCTTCTCTCGGTCCACGCCCCAAGTCTGTGTGCCCGACCCTGACCGGCAGCAGCAGCCTCAGCGGCCAGTGCCGGGGCCAGAGCTCTGATGTGCTGTCGCCGGCTTTGGGGCCAGTGGCCAAGCCCCACCTGGTCCCTGGTGCCTCCAGGCCCGAGGTGGCCTGCTGGCCAGAGCTCCAGTCCACATCTGGGAAGCCTGGACCACAACCTACAGCACTGTTTCCGCTCTGGGATCTTGTAAGCTACTTTTTTAGGCTGTGGTTTGGTGAAAGGAACCAACACATTAACGATTTTTTCCCCCAGAAGCCACTAAATAATTCTTTTTGGCGCATTTTTGCCTTCCTGTTGGCTGTCTGGTCTCGGAGCAGATGGGGAGCCGGTGGGGGGAGGGGTGCTCCTGAGCAGGCGGCCGGCCCCGCTCGGGCCTGGGCGCCCTGGGCCTGTGCTGCACCTGCCGGGCCGGTGGCACGCAGTTGCGCCCCACCTGGAGCAGCAGCCTTGATGCGTGGGTCCCCAGTGAACTACGAGAGTGACCCTTCCTTCTTCCCCTCCCCTCAACCTGCCAGTCCCGGAAGCCTTTAACCAAACGGGGGCGGGGGCGGCCAGCCTTCTCCCGGCATCTGGGGCGACGGGACAAGGGCTGCCCGGTGTGTCCTGCTCTGCTGCTCTCCTGGCGCTGAGAGGGTGGGTCCGAGCGCTGTCGTTCGCACCCTGCCAGCCCTGCCCGGGGCTGGAGCCAGGGGTAGGTGGGGGTACCCTGGGGTCTGCCCGGCGGCGGGGGGGGGGTTGTTGGAGGTGGGGGGGGGGCTCGTGGGGGCGGCCCGCCTTGGAGCCACCCTGCCCTGTGCAGTATTTATTGCTAAATTATTGTCCAGGAGGGGCGGCACTGGGCCAGGCCCCGGGTATTTATTGCTGTACATAGTGTATGTTTGTGATATATGAGGTTTTCTTTATTTTGTATATGATCAATAAACTCCTTTTAAAAAGACTGGCAGGTGCTTCCTTGGGGCGGCGCGGGCGGGGCCGGAAGGGCGGGGTCTCGCGCGCATGCGTCAGCGCGCGGCCTGCCGGGAGGCGGAAGCGGAAGCGCGCGTCTCCCCGGGAGCGATGGCAGCCGGGGGTCTGAGCCGCTCGGAGCGCAAGGCCGCCGAGCGGGTGCGGCGGCTGCGGGAGGAGCAGCAGCGGGAGCGCCTCCGTCAGGTACGCTGCCGCCGCCCGCCCCGCCCCGCGTCCCTGGCCCGCGCCGCGCTCACCGTCCGCCCCGCGCCCGCAGGTGTCGCGCATCCTGAGGAAAGCGGCGGCCGAGCGCAGCGCGGAGGAGGGCCGGCTCCTGGCTGAGAGCGCCGACCTGGTGACCGAGCTGCAGGGCCGGAGCCGGCGGCGCGAGGGCCTGAAGCGGCGGCAGGAGGAGGCAAGTCCGGCGGCGCCGTGGGCGGGCCGGAGCCGGGTGGGGGCGGGCGGGGCGGGGCGGGGCTCACGGCCGTCCTGGGGGTCTCGGCAGGTGTGCGATGACCCAGACGAGCTGCGGAGGAAAGTGCGGGAGCTGGCCGGCGCCGTGCGGAACGCCAAGTACCTGGTCGTCTACACGGGCGCGGGCATCAGCACGGTAGGGAGGCGAGGCGAGGCGGAGGCGGCCGACTCCCGGGTCCGGGAGCAACTTGGGCCTCTGGGACGGGGCGGGCCTCGGGCGCCCCCTTTTGGTTGTCAGACCCACGGGCCGAGTCCTGATTCGCCAAGAATTCCCCCTAACAGCGGCTCCGAGGTTGAGAAGTTTGAAATGACTCCTTTTGACACCGCACTAAGGAAGCAGTTTCGAAGGCTTGTACTCTGTGTCCTGCCCAGTTAAAGGCAAGGAAGGAACACGAAAAAGGATATAATAGCTTAGTATTTGCGAGCACCTCGTTTCAAACGGAGGCGGTGAAAGTGCTGTCCCAAGGCGACAGGGGAGAGCCGAGCCCCGCACTGCCTGAGTCCGCATTCATTGTTTTCCTGGGTGTCAGAGGGAGGTGAGTGGGGAGCAGGGCAGCGCAAATGGGAGGACGCCAGGTGAGGGAGACGGACGTGCTGTCGAGAAGCTGTCCTGGGCCTCGGGGTACGTGTGACCAGCTTGGACACTGATGGCACGTTATTTGCCTCATGGGTGGGTGGGTGCGTGTCTGTTGTGACGGACGAGTACGCCCTGCATCCTGGAGAAGCTGGTACATGATAAGGAGGCAGTCAGCACACGGCTGTCCCGTGAAGCTGGCTGTGTCAGGTCCCTGGAGTAGAGTGCAGGCACACCCTCTGTAGTCTCGGAGCTGAGAATCCATCCCACCTGGGTTTCTGTAGGCCGGGCCTCGGCAGGTGGGTGAGATTTCACAGGCCAAGGTGGGAGCCAGGCTCCAAACAGGGAGCCAGCCCCGGAGGAAGGGCGTGCCGGGCCTCCGGCCGCTCTGACTCACAGACAGCTGGCGCACAGGCAGTCCGGTCCCCTCCCCCACGGCCGCCTGCGGGCTGGTCAGGAGGTTGTCTCCAAGCGGCCATCTCACCTCTCACAGAGCTGCGAGTGGCCACAGTGCGCCCGGAGCCGCTCATCAGGCTGCTCCGAGCGCCACCTGGTGAGGGTCCGCTCTTTGGTGTGAGTGCGAGCGGCTGATCAGGGCAGGTACTTTTCTCAGCGTAAGCAGCAGGGAGAAGACAGGGCTCCTCAGCAGGGAGATCGCCCAGCCTGCGAGGCACGAGGCACCTGGGCCCTGGGCACACTTTGTCCGTCTGTCTGTCCGGTGGCTTTGTTCCGCTGGATGGGGAACCCACGAACTCCTCCGTGTTTACCTCCCCTGGAGAGGCCAGCCTGTCCCCACGGAGGTTAGGGCAGACAGCATTTTCATCGCCTGCGTGGGAGAGCTTAGGCAGAGGTGGGCCACACCTAGAGGGTCCCCTTCTGCACTGGCTGGGCTCTGGGGACACAGGTGGGCCTGACCAGCACCCCCCTCTGTGTGGAGGACAAGAATGGCCATACATGGTGCTGGAGGAGCCCCCGGAGGGAGCAGGGTTCGCTGGAGTCTGGGGGGAGGAGCTGGACCAGCTGGGAGTGGGGTCCGGGCACTGGGAAGGCCACTGCACACTCCGTAGGGGTCCCGGCGGGACATGCTGAGCCCGTGGGGTGAGCAGAGGCCAGTCCGAGGGCCGGCCTGCCACATGCTGGGAGAGACACTGGGGACCCTGCCGGGGCCTGCAGGGGTGCCTGTCCCCCGGGCTCATCTTCCTCTCGAACTCACAGGCGGCCTCCATACCAGATTACCGGGGCCCTAACGGGGTGTGGACGCTGCTCCAGAAGGGGAGGCGAGTCAGGTAAGCAGCCCCGCCCAGCCTGGCCCCGCGGCGCGCAGGGGGAGCCCAAGCCTGACCTCCGCTTCCCTCCCGCCCGGCAGTGCCGCTGACCTGAGCGAGGCCGAGCCCACCCTCACGCACATGAGCATCGCCCGGCTGCACGAGCAGAAGCTGGTGAGAGCCCGGGGAGGCGGGCTGGCGGGCTGGGGGGCGGGGGTGCTTGCCACGTCTGTGGCCTGGGGCCCGGAGCGCCGCCTTGGTGCTTCCTCTCTGTGTCCACACGGCGAGGGCTCACAGGGAATCCGGAGACCCTCTGCTGAGCCCCTCCAACCAGGGGAGCTTCTGGGACTGAAACATAATGACCCAAAAGGGCATCTGGGCCCGAGCCCTTGCCTGGCTGAGGGGGCGATGCAAACATTTGCCCCCCAGGCTGCTGTGGGTGCTTCAGGGTTGTTGGGGGCGGGCCCTCCCCGGTCCTGCCAGGACCTGCCTGCTTCCCTGGCCTGGGGCACGGGGCCAGCCGGACGCAGGGTGGTCTTGCCGCTGAGTGCTGCCGTGCCCCCCCTAGGTGCAGCACGTGGTGTCCCAGAACTGCGACGGGCTGCACCTGCGGAGCGGGCTGCCCCGCTCGGCCATCTCCGAGCTGCACGGGAACATGTACATCGAGGTGAGCGACCCCCTGGGGCGACTCGGGGGCCGGGGTGGGCCGGCAGCTGTGGTTCACAGCGCCCCCCCCCCCACCCTTAGGTCTGCACAGCCTGCGCCCCCAACAGGGAGTACGTGCGGGTGTTCGACGTGACGGAGCGCACCGCCCTGCACCGGCACCAGACGGGCCGGGCCTGCCACAGGTGTGGAGCCCCGCTCCGGGACACCATCGTGCACTTCGGGGAGAGGGGCACCCTGGGGCAGCCTCTGAACTGGGAGGCGGCCACCCAGGCTGCCAGCAGAGCAGACACAATCCTGTGTTTGGGCTCCAGCTTAAAGGTACCCAGAGGGCACTGTGGGTGGGACGGGAGTGAGGCTGCTGGCCCGCTGGGCGCTGGACCCCGGACCCGGCTCCCTATAGCCCTCTGCGCTGGTGTGTGCGTGTCCCGCCTCTCCCCACAGGTGTTGAAGAAGTACCCGCGCCTCTGGTGCATGACCAAGCCCCCCAGCCGGAGGCCCAAGCTCTACATCGTGAACTTACAGGTAACTTGGTGCTCAGAGCCGTGTCTTAGGCCCAGAGTCCCCGGGATGTTCCCGCCCGGCACTCAGGCACCTCAGAAGGGGGCGAGGTGCTGGCCTCACTCACCTTCCTCTGCCCCCAGTGGACCCCGAAGGACGACTGGGCTGTCCTGAAGCTCCATGGGAAGTGTGATGACGTCATGCAGCTCCTCATGGATGAGCTGGGCCTGGAGATCCCCACCTACAGCAGGTGAGGGGGCCCGGGCCCCGCCCCCTCCCTGCCCCTGTGTGGATGGGCTGTGTCTGTCTTCTCTCACGAGCTGAGCGTAGAGAGTTTGGAGGTGTCGCAGGCAGTGTCTGAGGCGTGACTGCAGTGTGGTGGCCTCTGCAGGGCCTGGCCCGGGCGCTCCCCCCCGCACGGCAGGCAGGCAGCCTGGAGGGGCGGGCAGTGCTGCTCGGACAGGTTCTCGGTTTGGGGAGCTGGCGGCCTCGGGGAAGCTTAAAGGAACTGTTCCTTGAAACAGAATTTGTGATAATTTAGACGTGGTGTGTGTATTGAGTAAAAAGTTTACACTTTCTTTCTCTGTGAATTTTCAGGGTCTTATAGGGGAAATCAATAACCTCTTTTAATCAAAGGGTTCAAGAATTAAGGATCCCTTCACCTTCTGGGCCTGGCAATTCTTGTATGTTATGTTTGTGGTGTTCTGTAATGTGGGCCTATCGTGTACTGTACTTTTTTTTTTTTTACATTAACTTAGCTCATTTTCCTTATCAGTGCTATCTGTATCTTAAGTTTATACTATGTGGTTCTACATCTCAGACACATGACCTCACCGGGGAGCCTGTAGGCCACGCCTCCCTAGTCAGCTGACCTCCCCTCCTATCAGGTCTCCGGGTCTGGGAAGGGGGAGAGGGTCCGGTCCACCTGCCCTGGGCCTTCCAAGTGACAGCTGGGACCCAGGGTTGCTAGTGACTCCCCCCTGTCGGGACTCCTGCCGCCCCAGCCGTGCGTGCCTGGCTGCTAGATCTCCGACGAGGACACGGTCTCTGACGAGGCCGAGCTAGTCTTGGGAGCCTACCCCCCTGCAGCTCAGGAACGGTGGCACTGCCACCCAGCAGAGGCCGCCGCGGCTAAGACGGGGAGGGAACAGGGCCGCCTCCTCAGTCAGCTCTCCTGTCCCGGGGCATGCTGTGACCTCGAGGGGCTCCCAGGCGCACCTGACCCAGCTTCTCCCTTCCGGCAGGTGGCAGGACCCCATCTTCTCCCTGGCTACCCCCCTGCGGGCCGGCGAGGAAGGCAGCCACAGTCGGAAGTCACTGTGCAGAAGTCGCGAGGAGCTCCAGGCGGAGGACCAGGGTGGGCCTCTGAGCTCAGCCCCCGTCCTGGGTGGCTGGTTTGGCAGGGGCTGCGCCAAAGGCACGAAAAGGAAGCGAGTGACATAGCCTGGCACTTGACTGACAGCAACACTGGCACTTTGCAGGCGGCTGGAACTCTCGGCTCCGGGGGCTGGTGGCACCCAGGAGGCCAGGCCTGCCCCACGGGGTCTAGTGAGACTTCTCTAGGAGTGACGTCTCCACCGTGACCGGCTTAGCCATTTGTCTCGACGGGAAGCCCCTTGCACTGCTGTGGTTGCCCCCCCACCCGGGGGCCCGAGAGCCCACACCTGGCCCATCCAGCCTCTTCTGAAGAGGTGGTGGCCACGCACTCCCGCGAGAGCAGAGCTCGGGTTGTCCCCACCTGGCAGGCCAAGAGGAAGAAAACGCTGCCTTACCGCCCTCGCCAGGCTACTCTCAGGGCCCTCGACTCCGTTTCTACTTCCTACTACGAATGTTCACTTTACAGCAAACTTTCTTCTGCTTCGGTGTGCGGCACAGGGGCGGTTTGGAGCCTTAGCTCTCGGCAGGCCTTTCTGTGGTTATTAAACATCTCTGCACTGTCTTCCCCTGCCGCTGCGTGTCTGCCTTCCTGGCGTCGTCTGGAGCCGGCACCCAGCCGGGCTCCGTGGGGGAGTGGGGGGGTGGGAGGTGCTCCACGTAGTTATGCCCCGCCCCTCCGCCAGGTGCGAGCTCGGGACGGTGGTGCGCGTACACCATTGGCGGTGAGCCAAGGGGAGGGGGTGGGGCTCGGCCCAGGCGAGGCACGCCAGTGGCTGCACTCAGAGGGCGTGGCTCAATTCTGGTGAGGCCCGTGGCGCATTCCATTGGTCGCGCCAGACAGATGGGCGGGGCGGCGCTCCCCATTGGCCGCGTGCGGCTGCTGAGGTCCGCGTGATAGCGCGTGCGCGGGCCGGGGCTGGGCAGACGGCGGCTGCGAGCAGTTTCAGAGCCGTCCCGGCGAGCTGCTGCGGCGGGGACATGATCCGAAACGGACACGGGGTGGCGGTCGGCGCCGAGCAGCCGGGCCCGGGGGGCAGGCCCGCCGTGCGAGTGTGGTGCGACGGCTGGTGAGTGTGGCGGCGGGCGTTGGTGAGCGTTGGCGGGCAGGGACTGGGTCGGGGCCGCGGTGGCCCCTGCGCTGCCACCCGCAGAGGCGTGTGTGAGCTGGCCTTCGCTTCGGGCCTTTCTTGGGGCCAGGGTTGGCCGTCGATTGCGGGGAGGGGGGTGGTGGTCAGCAGAGGCCGACCCGGGCTACCGGAGCCTGGAGGACGCTTGGGACCCAGGGCCACCCCCACCGCGGAAGCCCTGCCCGAGGGACCGCGACGCAGCCCAGGACTCTAGCCCCGTCGCGGAGACTCGGAGGGGTCTGGGAGAGGCGCCCTTCCTGCAAGCGCTCCTTCCCCGACGTTTGCCAGTAAGCCGCAGGCAGAGCCAGGCCGGACGTCCGCCCAGCTCGTGCATCGCGGTGGCTAAAGTCGCGTGATGAATTTAATCGGTTTAGCGCCTTCTGAAGGAGCCAGGCACCTGCGGTCTTCCCCAGGGGTGTCTGTGTCGGGTTCCCGGGCTTGGCCAGCACAGAGCCAGAGAGATTCTCCTGGGTGCCTGGGCAGTGTCAGCCTCGGGATTGGGGGACTGCGTCCAGGACCCCCCCCTGAAGCCCCTGGGTGACCTCCCGCCCTCTCTTCCATCGGGCCACATGGCGGGGTTGTTGGACGCTGTTTGGGGTTGTCAGCCGATGACTTGTGGCCTGTGATGCTTCCTTGGCCCTCTCCTGGGGCAAGCAGAGAAGGAACTATGCCCTTACCTACGGTGCCTGCACTTGAATCACCTTAGGCAGACGGAGGGTGGCCTCGTGTCCGCGGACTCTGACCTTGGCCCTGGCCAGCAGGCCCTTGCCCCTGCTGTCACAGCCACAGGCAGCAGTGACTGGGACACACCCTGGCCCCACTGCCACCCTGCATTTCCTGGGCCCCCGGCCCAGCCTGACCAGTGGGCACAGGGGACCGGCCTGGGTGCCCCTGGGCTTGGACTTCTTCCTTCCCTGACCCCAGAGCCAGAGCCCCGCCACCCCACGGGCTCGGCTGCCGGACCTGGTGTGGTGAGACCAGGGTCACAGGTGGAAGGAACAGCTCCGAGTCCCCTGGAGAAGCAGGACAGCTGTGCCCACTCAGAGGGCAGCGGTGCTGGTGCCAGGCCGGGAGGAGCAGAATGGGCTTGAGGGCACAGCCCGGGCCGCAGAGCAGCGTGGGTGCCGGCATGCACAGGGCACACGGGGCCTTGGAGCCGAGAGGCCACTCTGACCAGGCCTGGCTGGGAAGATAAAGCTCTAGACCCGGCCACGGGGAGGTGGCAGCTGGCCCGCTCTCGGAAGCTCTGGGGGCCTCGTGGGAGCAGCAGGCACCGCCCCCGGGCGCTGGTTGGACGTCGCTGCCTGTCGGCCCAGAGACTCTCCACTTGCCTCGGGGCCACAGCGGGTCCGGCCCACCCTTGAGTTCTGCAGCTCAGAGAGACCACGTGCGGCACCTCGCATCTGGGAGAGGGCCCCGAGGGCCGCGCTGTCCCAGGAGCGGGGGCAGGGCTGTTCTTCCTGCGCTCTGGCCCTCGGGACCCGCAGGCCTGGTCCCTGGGCACAGCCGGGCGCCTGCCGCCTCTGGCCCTAGGCCCGGGGACCAGCGCTGTGCGGAGCTGAGCACCCACCTCCCCGCCGAAAGCTCAAGCCCAGCCAGACCCTAGGGAGAAGTTCCTGGCGGTGGCCTCTGGGGGGGCTTTCTGGGGAAGGCACGGAGGAGCCCGGCCGTGCCCCTCGCTACCCACGGGCCACTCAACCGCAGCCCTCCCCAGCCCAAGGCGTGACTGCCCTGCCCCCCTGCAGCTACGACATGGTGCATTACGGCCACTCCAACCAGCTGCGCCAGGCGCGGGCCATGGGTGACTACCTCATCGTGGGTGTGCACACTGACGGTAGGCTGGGGTGGCCCTGCCCACCCTCCTCCCTCCCCCTATGCCCGCCTGGGGTGGCCCCCAGCGTTACCTGGGACTCTGGTTGGGTGAGGGGACCGCACACTTATCCAGCACACCGTCCTGAGCTGCTGTGCCGGTCGGGGGAGGGCAGGGCGGTGGCCGTGCGGGCGTGGGAGGGCCCTCCCGAGGAAGGACTGGTGAACCTGCGGCCCAGCCCAGCGCGCAGAGGGGTCACCAGCGTGCCCGCCCCTCTGCTCTGGCCCCAGCGGAGATCGCCAAGCACAAGGGCCCGCCAGTGTTCACGCAGGAGGAGAGGCGCCGCATGGTGCAGGCCATCAAGTGGGTGGACGAGGTGGTGCCGGCGGCTCCCTACGTCACCACACTGGAGACGCTGGACAAGTACAGCTGCGACTTCTGCGTCCACGGCAGTGAGTGGGCGCTCGGGGCTGGCTCTGGCTGCGGGGCCCCGGGTGGCGCTGGGCCTCTGCACGCTTCGGGGGGCCCTGAGCCCTTCGGGGGCCTGAGGACGCCCCAGGTCCCACCCCCCAGAAACAGGCCGGGCCACGAGGGCAGGCCTGGGAAGGGGGGTTGTGAGCCCCGGAGGTCTCGGTGGTTTCGGGCTAAGGACCCTTGCCCCCACGTCGCCCCATAGATGACATCACGCTGACTGTGGACGGCCGGGACACCTACGAGGAGGTGAAGCGGGCCGGGAGGTACAGGTGAGCCCCGTCTCGGGCCCTTTCGAGGGGCAGGACTCAGCGTTCGGGCGGCACGTCCGGGCTGCAGCCTGTGCCGCCGGGGTTGGGGCCGGGGCCGGGGGTGTTGCCCAGCAGGGCGCCCCAGGTCTCTGGCGCGACCGAGAGCGTCGAGGACGTGCTGGTCTGTGGGCAGTGCGCCAGGAGGCGGGGCTGCCCTCGATGGGGTGACCCGAGAGCTCCGACCCCATGTCTCCACCGCCACTCCTGTCCCCAGAGAGTGCAAGCGCACCCAGGGCGTGTCCACCACGGACCTCGTCGGCCGCATGCTGCTGGTCACCAAGGCCCATCACAGCAGCCAAGTGAGTCTGGGGAGGTGGGGCCGGGTCCCCAAGGTCCCCCCACCACGGGCACCACCGGGAGGGAAGGAGGAACGCCCGCCCGCCCCGCCGGGGGCTGAAGGACGGTGGGCTGCGGTGTCCCGGACTCGGCTGCGTCTGGAGGGCGCGGCACCTGACCCCCGCCCCCGCCTTGCTTCGCAGGAGATGTCCTCAGAGTACCGGGAGTACGCAGACAGTTTTGGCAAGGTGAGTGTCCCCGGAGCCTCGCCCACCACCCTGCTTCCTGCCTCCGGGCTCTGAGCGGGGACTGACCGGCACTGCCTGGAGCGGGAGCGGCCTGGCCCCCTCCCCTTCTCTAGTTCCCTCATCTGATCCCCCCAAAGGAGATGCTTTTCTCAGAAGGCTCCTCCCAGGTGACCAGCGGTGCCCTTGGGGTGTGGGGCCCGCACAAGTGCCGTGTCCACTGGCTGCCTTCCTTCTGGACCTAGGTGGCAGTGGCTGCAGTTTCCGCTGTGACCTTGGGGCAGGGCCACCATCCCACTTGCCACAGGGCCCCTGCCCAGCCTGGCCCTGGTGTGTGCGGGAAACAGCCAGGAGTCAGCTGGCAGGCTGCGGCTGGGGTTTCGAGCCCTACCTTGTAGCCCCCACACCTGCTGCCCCCCAAACTGTGCCCCTGAGAGCAGGTGGGCAGGCACGCGCAGGTAGCGCCAGGCTCGGAAGAGGGGGCAGGTGCCTGCAAAGTCTCTGTGGCTGATCAGAGCCCTCTTGGCCTGCAGTGCCCGGGGGGACGGAACCCCTGGACGGGGGTGTCCCAGTTTCTGCAGACGTCCCAGAAGATCATCCAGTTCGCGTCGGGGAAGGAGCCGCAGCCCGGAGAGACGGTCATTTACGTGGCCGGTGCCTTTGACCTGTTCCGTATCCTCTAGGCCCCGGGGTTGAGGGGTTGGGGGTGGCCCCCGCCCTTTCCTCTGTGTCCACACCGGCCGAGGGGAGCGCCCCTGACGTCTCGAGGCCCTGGGCAGGCGGGGGCGGGCCGGCAGGGAGCGCGGAGGGCCAGAGGGCTGGCGCGGAGCGCGGAGGGCCAGAGGGCTGGCGCGGAGCGCGGAGGGCGGGGCCTGTAGCTGCCCCAGCTGGGTTGCTGGCTCCTGAACCTGGCGCAGACATCGGGCACGTGGACTTCCTGGAGAAGGTGCACGGCCTGGCGGAGCGGCCCTACGTCATCGCCGGCCTGCACTTCGACCAGGTCTCGGCTCCCCGCGGCCGGGCGCAGGGGGGCGCAGGGGTGCTGTGGGGGCCTCTCTGGGCGGGGCTGCCCTCCAGGCCACGCCCACCTCCCAGGGGCCACTGGCGGGAGGCCTGCTGACCCGCTCTCACCCCTGCCTTAGGAGGTCAACCGCTACAAGGGCAAGAACTACCCCATCATGAACTTGCACGAGCGGACCCTGAGCGTGCTGGCCTGCCGGGTGAGCGCGGCTGGGCGGGGGGGCTGGGGGCCCCTCGGGGGCCCTGGGCACCTGGTCCTGCCTCCCCACGTCCCCGCATCCCCACCGGCAGTCCCGGCTGGCGTCTGGGGCCGCCCCCCACCCCGCTCCAGCCCGGCGGGGCCCCCGCTCACCGGCCGCACCCCCGCCTCCGCAGTACGTGTCGGAGGTGGTGATCGGGGCCCCGTACGCAGTCACGGCCGAGCTGCTGGACCACTTCAAGGTGAGGCTCCCGGGCCAGGGTCCCAGGGCAGCTGGGCTGAGGCCGGGGCTGGGCAGTGCACGGTGGCAGCCTCCCTGGGGTGGTGCTGGGGGGCCACCTGACCCCCGCTCCCTCCGCAGGTGGACGTCGTGTGTCACGGGAAGACAGAAATCGTGCCTGACAGGGACGGCTCCGACCCGTACCAGGTGGGGCGTGCTGGGCCCGGGCCGGGCCGGTCTGGGGGACGGGTGTGGAGGTGGCCGCTGCTCTCCGAGGGCCCCGCAGTCCGGGGGGGGGCAGGAGGCTAACGAACGAGGGTGACTGTCCTGACTGTGCTGGGCAGCCTCCTGGGGGTCCAGGGCAGGGCCCACATCTCCCCCTCCCGGTCTCCAGGAGCCCAAGAGGAGGGGCATCTTCTGTCAGGTGGACAGCGGCAGCGACCTCACCACGGACCTCATCGTCCAGCGCATCATCACGAACAGGTGAGGCCCCTGCGCGGCCGAGGAGCGCCTGGAGCCCGAGGCCCCCGGCTGAGCACGCAGCTCACGCCCCACTGGCCCGCAGGCTGGAGTACGAGGCCCGGAACCAGAAGAAGGAGGCCAAGGAGCTGGCCTTCCTGGAGGCCATGAGGCGGCAGGAGCCACAGCCCGCCAGGGGGAGCGACACTCCCTTCTGACGACTGGACTGCCAGGGAGAGCCCCGGAGTGCGGCCGCTCCAGCCCCGCCTCCTGCCGCTAGGTGTCTGCCTGCCGTGGTTTTCACTGCGCGGCGGCCCCGCCCCTGCAAGGCACCTGATGTCCTCGCAGCCCCCCCCCTCAGCTGCACCGGGAGGGGGCCCCCGGCGGGATGAGCAGAGGGGGCCGGTGACCAGAGGGGTGCCGCCCCGTGTGCCTGGGGGGCCCTCGCCCCCTGCCCCCTTGGGAGGCTCCTGCAGACTCGAGCTGATTTCCTGCCCACCCACCTTGGCGAGAGTCCGCTTCAGGGAGCAGGGACCTGAGGGCCCACAGCCTTTCTTCTTCGGGGCGCAGGCCAGGCCACCGCCCACGCCAGCACCCTCTGGCTCGCGCCGAGTCCCTGGTGCCCCGAGCCCGACTCCAGGGCCCTGCACCCGCTCCCTAGCCAGCCTCCCGCTCCCCCCACGGACTTCTCCGCTTTGTGCGCAACTGGCTGGTGTGCACCCAATAAAGCCGGTGGGAGACGCACTGTGTCGGGCTGCCAGCCCTGCTGCCCACCTGTCACCGGAGGGACGAGAGGCTGTGCCCCCGCAGCTCCCACTCGGGGAGGATTGGGGCCCACAGAATCTCGGGGTCTCCTGCACCCAAGTCACACCCACTGGGAGCAGCCTGGCAGCTGCAGGGCCACTTCCGGGGGCCGGGGCCCTGAGGGAGCCGACAGCCAGCCCTGCCTTCTGACGTCGCCGTCTCAGTGACTTGAGAGACAGAAGGGCAGCTTGTGTTCCCCGGGCGCCCGCACTCACTGGCTCACCTGCGCCCTGGCCGGGGGTCGGACCCGCATCCTCAGGGCGGCGGGACAGCGTTCTCACCCACTGAGCCAAAGGGAGCCAGGGAGAGAAACCTCAGTGTGTGGCTGCCTCTCACGCGCCCCCAACCGGGGACCTGGCCCACAACCCAGGCCTGTGCCCTGACTGGGAATCGAAACTTTGGGGCTTGTGGGGTGACGCCCAACCCACTGAACCACACTGGTCGGGGCTCAATTTCACCTTGGGGTCCACCTCGGAGCCCCCGGCAGGAAACCGAAGCAAGGTGACTGGGACGGTTCACACCCCAGCTGGGCAGCCACCACCCACTTCCCCTCCCCACAACGGGACTTGAGGCTGTGAGAGGCCCAGGGCCCTCCCTGCACCTCCTCCCATCTGGGCCCCCTGACTTCAGGAGCCCTATGGGGCCAGGCCTCCCCGCACTCAGACCCCTGGGCTCCAGGGAACCCCTGAGCAGAAGAACCGGACATCCCCCCGTAGACTCGGAAGGATAGGGCCAGTGGGCCTCGGGACGGCTGGCTCAGCCCCAGGCCTTCCCAGAGCCCCCTCCCAGGGTGCCACCCTGAGGGGGGGACGGCCCCAAAGCCCCAGCCAGGGCATGGGGCCTGGGCGTGCGGGAGGGCACCCTCCCCGAAGAGACATCTACCCTGGTACAATGGGATTGTGAGGTCCACCCCCAGCCTCCCTGAGCAGCCACACTGCACAGGTGCTCCGTGGGGGGGTGGGCACCCCCAGGGAGGCTCCGGACCTCCCTTGAGGCCCCAGCTCATGCTCTGGAGGGAGCTCGGGGGTGGGGGCAGGGGCCCACTTGCTGGGCTGCCCCGACCCTGGGTGTGCAGCTGCCCACCTTCTGGAATGGCCCCTCCGCCCCCTGGGCAGGGGCGGCTGCCTGGCGCCAGGGGCACTTGCCCCAGTGGGTCAGTTGGAGGGAGGTCTTCTGGGCAGCCCACCCGCCCCCCGGCCACAGGCGCAGCAGCCCCGTCGTGCCGGACCCACCCTGCTCGCCGGCACCGCGCCAGACTCGTGGCTACTGCTGAGGAGGTAGGTGCTGGGGCTCCAAGGAGGGGGTGGCCCTAGAAGCCGGCCGTCTAGTAAGGGACAGCTCTGGCCTCAGGAAAACCCAGGGTTCGAGGCAGGAGGGCTGTCTGAGCGGGGTGATGGGGAGGCTGGCAGAACACCCCTCCCAGTGGCTGGGTGGGTGGGAGGTCAGGCGTGGGGAGCAGTGGGGATACCCAGAAAGCTTGCAGCGCTCTATTGGAGCCCCGGGCCGCGCCTGTGCGGGGTGCTCCCGGAGGGATCCGTAGCCGGCGGGGTGCGGCCAGATTCAGGGACTGACCCCCAGGCCCTGCCCCCTCCCGTGGTGCCCCCCACCACACACACGCGCACACAGGTGTGTCGTTGCCTCATTTAGCCGTTTACTGTGGAGACGGGGTGGGCGGTACCCGACGCCATCTCCTTGGGGGTCGAGGGGTGCGAGCCGGACTGCGGGAGGCGGGGACACCGCGGGCGTCAAGCGCCGCGGCAGTCGGCGGCGCGGAGCGACAGGAAGACGTCCGCCTTGCACTGGAAGGTGGCGCGGCCGTCGGGGAGTCGTTGGCAGCTCTGCAGGTTGGGGGCCACGTCCTTGACGCACACGGCCTGCGGGCAGGAGGCGGCTGAGGGGGCGCTCCGGGCCTGCGCCCCCCCCACCCTGTCCCCGGTGGCCTCCCACCGGCTGCACTCACCGGGCTCCGTAGGCTGGGGCGCAGCTCCGCGGCAGTGCCGGCCCGGCCCGGGGGCTCAGAGCGCCGCGCGTACGGGGACCCGCGCAAGCCGGACAGCAGCCCCGCGGCGCGGCCCACCGAGTGGGCGCGGGGCCCCGCCGCCGGCTTGTACCAGGCGCGGCCGGGGGACGGCAGCAGCAGCAGGCTCAGCGCCAGGGCGGCGGCCAGTGCCGAGGGCTGGGCCATGGGGATGGGGTCAGGCGTCGGGCTCGGCGCCGCAGCAGCCGGGCACCTTATATCTGCGGCGGGCGGGGCGGGGGCGGCACGAGGACCTGTCGGGCCTCCGCAGACACGGGAGCTGGATGCGCTGGTGCGGGGGGAGCTGACGCCCACACCCCCCAAACTGACCGCTCCGCCTGCTGCTGGGAGGGGGCGCCGGGCCGCTCCTACCACCGGCGGTCGGGCCCTCGAGCCCTCGGGCCCCTCAGGGCAGCGGCAAGTGTAGGTGCTGCACCCCCACCCATGCGAGGGCGCCCCAGCCCCCGAGTCGCCCCCAGGGGCCCCCAAGGCTCACAGGGCGGGAGAGCCACTGAGCGCACAGCGCCAGGGCTGCTGGAGGAGCGGGGCCGGAGGGCCAGCGGGGCCGGAGGGCCAGCGGGCCCAGGCCTGTCTCCCACCCAGCGGGGAGGGTTGGCCCCCTGTTGGAGGGGGGCAGCAGGCAGCCAGGCGGGAGCTCTGGAAGGTGGACAGAGGGGTGGGTGGCCTCGGGCTTGGGGCCTTCTCTCCCCACCCCAAACGCTGGTCCGAGGACAGAACTGCCAGCAGAGGCTCATTTTCTGCACACCTACTGTGTGCCGGTGTCCAGGAGACAACTGGACCCGGCCCTGGGTGAAGCCCCCGGGGGCCCAGGGGCAGGTGAGGAGGCGGCAGGTGGGGCTGGACTCTGCGCGTGCAGGGCCTGGGGGACGACTGTGTGTCCAGCTTGAGGAGACCCAGCCAAGCACTGAGGCGTCCGGGTGGCGGGGGGTGTGGGTGGCCCCCAGGTGGGTGCGTGTGACTAGGGCTGACGGCACCACCCCAGTGGGCAAGGGGGAAGCTGCCTGGGAGGCTGGGTCCTGGCGGGTCCCTCCTGTCACCACAGACAAGTCCCCAGGGAGGGAGGACGTCCAGGGGGCAGGCCAGGGTGGCCACACGCCCTGGGAAGCTGGGGGCCCTCTGGGGGCCCTCTGCAGTGGCCATGGCTGCCCCTGCTCCCCCCAGAGGTCCTGGTGAGCCCACAGCCCCAGCGCACTGCACGCAGAGGGGCCCCACCTGCGCAGGGGCTGTCCGGAGCCCAAGGATGCCGTCAGGCCGCCAGACCTCGCCTGGCAGGGGACCTGGGCCCATTCAGGCCCCCTCCCCCACTGCCCAGCCGCCGCCCAGCACCACAGGGACACGCAGCCTCCAGAACCTGCCCCAAACTCCTGGGGCTGGGACGGCGGCCCCCCAGGGAGCTGTGGGGGAGCAGAAGGGCCCAGAGGAGCCTCCCCAGGGCTGTCCTTCCCTAGCTGGGGCGGCCCCAGACACCGGGGACACAACCTGTCCCCACGCGAGTCACAGCCTTGACGAGGAGCTGGCCCTCCGTGCCCTGTGGGAGACCGGGCTGCCAGACACCGGGCCTCCTCACCTCTTGGTGCAGCCACACGGGGCACAGCCTGGCCCTGTGCCACCAGCACCCGCTGGGACCGCCTTCTGGCGGGAGCTGTGCCCAGCCGGGGTCCCGCGGACCAGCCGGGCTCCCGTCGGGAGAGGCTGGCTGAGGGCCACAGGCCTCTGACCCCGGTTCCTTCAAGTCCGTCAGCAGTGCACCCCTGGGCCTCTGCAGCCCCCCCCCACCCCCCCGCCCAGGCAGAGCCCGCCACCCTGCTCCCCGCCGACCCCGCACCCCTCCGCCCGCAGGAGTCGTGACTCGGGGCTGGCAGCTCCGCGGGATGTTTATTCATGAGACGTCTCATATCCGTGCAGGCCGAGGCCGCGTCAGCGCCACGCTCACAGGCACCCAGAGGCCTCCGGCAAGGCCCGGCAGTTTAATGAGTTCCACTTATTGGATGAAGGTGTCGGCGTCGTGACCGAGCAGAGACAGCAGCGCGCGGCACCCGTCCCGCCCACGCGGCCGGCGGCTCACTCCTTGAACTTCCACTCCTGGCGGCACATGGGGCAGTGCTGCTGCACCTGCTGCGCGTTGAGCCACTTGAGGATGCAGTGCATGTGGAAGCAGTGCGAGCACTGGCCCCACACCAGCGGGCAGTCGTCGCCCGGCACCTTGCCTGCGGGGGACAGGAGAGGGCGAGGGTCACACGCGGCGCGTCCACCGCCGGGGGGTGGGGGGCAAGGCAGGGACCCGGGACCCGCGCTAGCCAGGGCCCCGTAGAGACGACAGGTTCTGGAGCCAGGACCGGTCCTGCGGCAGAGCCACCCCTGTGTGAAGGCCGCAGGACCCCCGCCTGGTGGGAGCCGCTCAGGGTGGCTCGGTGTCCGGAAGAGCCCTGGCCGGGCCCTCAGCCCTGACCGCTGGCCTTCTAGAGCCTGGGCCCGTCGGCAGACACCGCGAGGCCGGGACGCTGGACCTGCCACGCCAGACTGCAGTGTGACTGTGCCCCCCGGCTGAGCGGGACCCACTCCTCCAGCCAAGAGCCAGAGGCGGGGACCTCGAGACCTCGCAGGGCCCTTCCCCGGGCAGCACCTCCCTCTGCAACGTGCATCTAAGCGCGGAGGGCAGAAACTGCCTCGGGGTGCCTGTGCCCAGGGGGCCCGGCCAGGTCGCCTGTGGTCCTCGCACTCTCTCTCGACACCAAACACGGAGACTCGAGGTTCTGCGGGTGAGTTAAAGCAGTAGTGCACTGGCAGGTGAGGCTCGAAACCCCACCCGGCGTCTCCCTGCACGAAACGGGGAGCCGGCCTGCGCTCTGCCCCACCTCACACCCCTGCTGGGAGCAGCCCCCTAGCCCCCTAGCCCCCCAGCCCCCCAGGCAGGGGGTGGGGCCGCAGCTCCGCCTTCCTATCTACCGGCTGGGGGCAGTGTTTCCTGCCTTTTTAAAAAAATCCTTTGGAGTCCTAAAAAGTCCTTTTTATAAGGCCCTGGCCAGATAGTTCAGTTGGTCACAGCACCTTCACAAAGGCAAGGATTGGAAATCCCTGGTGTGGTTCTGTGGGCTGGGAGTCATCCAGCAAAGTGAAAGGTCGCCAGTTCGATTCCCCTGAGGGCATGTGCCCAGCGTGCAAGATCAGTCTATGGTGGGGTGCACTGAGAGACAACAGACTGATGTTTCTCTCCCTCTCTTTCTCCCTCCCTTCCCCTCTCTCTACAAATAGTCTTTTAAAAAATTACTTATTTTAGAGAGAGGAGAAGGGAGGAAGAAAGGAAGAGAAACATCAACGTGTGGTTGCCTCTCCTGTGCCCCCTACTGGGGATCTGGCCTGCAACCCAGGCGTGTGCCCTGACTGCGAATTGAACCAGCAACGCTTTGGTTTGTAAGCTGACACTGAATCCACTGAGTCACACCAGCCAGGGCAACAAATAATTATTTAAAAATCCTTTCTCCGAGGCCCTGGCTGGGCTGTTCAGCTGGTTACAGTGTGGCCACCACATGCTGAGGTTGCGAATCCCTGGTCCAGGCAACCGATTACAGAGGCAACCGATTAAAGAATCAGTAAGGGGAGCAGGTCTGAAGATCAGGCTCTCCATCCCCCAGCCTCTGCAGCGGGCGGGCGGTGCAAGCAGAGACAGACACCAACCCCGCTGGGACTGCCCGCGGGGCTCTGCAGCCCACCGGGTCGGCCACGCTGGCTCCCCCGCCTGCATCACCTGGGGCACCACCCAAAGATGGCGCGGAGCGCTTTTCTTCCCAGAGGGGAACAATCAAACCTGTGGCTTGGAAAGTTCCCAGCGCTTGCCCCAGGGCCCTCCGCCTGTGCAGCACCCTTGGGAGACAAAGTTTAAACCACGTTGAGTCCAACCTTGTGCCCCACTGTTCTCATCAAGTAAAACCAGATCAAGCAGAACTAATCGGTTCTAAGATCCGATCCTCCTAAGATCCCAGCCCCCGGCCTGATTAAATCAGGAGGGATTAGCTCCTGCAAGTGAGATTTCCTGCTCAGCCCACGCCAGGTGAGGTCTAGAACGAAACGGTGTTTGCACTGAAACTCAGTGGTTTGCACTTTGCAGCAGGAGTCCCCAGGCCCCACTTTCCTCCCGGGTCTACGCTGGTCCCAGAGGGGACGCCCTGGCCCTTGCTTCTGCGTTATGTTCACTTGGGCCTGACGAAAAACAGCGCAAAAGCTGCTTTTGAACCAAATATACAATAAAACACTTCCGTGCAGAACACGGCAGGGACAAAGGAACCACAAAGGAGAAATTGCACAGAGCCTGATAGTAGGCGCCCCGCGAGGCAGCGAGCGCAGCGGCCTCCCACGGGAGTCCGGAGTCGGAAGGAGAGAGAGGGTGGATGGAGGAGGGCTGCTCCAGAGGAGCCAGCTAGGGGCAGAGTGGTGGGAGGCACAGCCCTGTCGCAGCCCACCCGAGAGCGAGGAGACACGGGGACAGCTGGAGCTGTGCGAACCAGCCCCGAGAACGGGCGACGACCGGGGGAATGCTGCCCGGGGTCGGGCGAAGTTACGGACGCGCGTGCAGTGGGTGGCACGGGACGTCCCTTTTACCGCGGACTTTAAAACGCATCAGCAGAACCAGGAAGCAAACCCAGAACCGCCCCCTCCCGCGACCTGCGCCGGGCCAGGGGGGCGGGGTGTGCTCGCACAATTCCATGTTGTCGTTCGAGAATTTTCAGCTGACAAGGTAGCGCGTTCTCTGCCCCAGGTGTTTCCCAGCCCAGTCTGATGGCAAAAGGCTGCACCATTTTTCCTAACGAAAAACGTTCGCTGGCGTCTCCGTATAAATAGGGACCCACATCTCCCGCCTCTTTTTCGGCTAACTTTGCTCGAGGCCAGAGACTCTGTGCGGGCGGGAGTTTCTGGGGAGCCGCCTCGGCCGGGCGAGCACGGGGGACACTCACAGTCCGGACAGCAGCCATTGAAGGCCATCCGGCAGATGCCGCAGTTCTCGTCGTTGGCCACCCACAGCCAAGTGGCCACGCCGTTCCAGCACTTAATCTTCACCTTCATGGCGGCAGCGCCTGCGGACGAGGGAAGAGAGCGCCTGCTGCCCTGAGTCGGCCGAGCAACAGCACGCAGGCACCAGGCGAGGGTGCTGCCCGAGCCGGGGTCCGCTCGGAGAAACCGCTTTAGCCGCCCAGAGGGGCCCAGGGCGCCTGGGGTCGAGGTCGCCCGCGGGAACCCCGGGCGCCGCGGAGGCTCCGCACGCACTCGGGGCACCCGCAAAGGCCGCCGCCGCAGGGCGCGCTGGCTTTCCCTCACAACTGCACAGATGCGCCGCGCAGCCCGCCACTGACTTGGGGGCGACCCACAGACGGAGCCCCAAAGGCTCTCGCTGGACTTGGGCGAGGAAACCGCCACCCGGCCGGGGTCGCCCGAGGTGAGGGTGGAAAAAGCGGCGAGCCCCGCCCCCACAGCCGCACCCGGACCCGCCCCCGCGCCCTCGCACCCGAGCCGTCTTAATCGCGCGCAGCCCCGCCCGCCTTCAGTTGGCAGCGCCAGCGCCCGCGCGGGAAGGTACAAAAACGACCGCGACCGCGGCCGGGCGCTTCGCAGCGTTCCCCGCCGAGCCCCGAGCCCCAGCGCGCAGGCGCCGACCCGCCCCCTGCCGCGCCCTTAGCCAATCGGCGGTCGCTCCGAGGACGCGGCTCCGGAAGACGCCGCGCAGCGTCGGAAGTGACGAGCCGGCGTGCTGACGCGCGGGCTTGAGCCGAGGCCGATTCCGCGCCCGCCATGGCCGACAAAATGGACATGTCCCTGGACGACATCATTAAGCTGAACCGGAGCCAGCGAGGCGGCCGCGGCGGGGGCCGGGGTCGAGGCCGGGCCGGCTCCCAGGGAGGCCGCGGCGGAGCGCAGGCTGCTGCACGAGTGAGCCGGGGCGGCGGGCCCATCCGGAACCGGGCGGCCCTAGCTCGCGGCGCGGCGGGCGGCGGCGGCAGGAACCGGCCGGCGCCTTACAGCAGGGTGAGTGCAGGGGCCCGCGGCGGGGGAGCGGGCCGGCGGGGTGGCGCGCGGCGGAGAGGGTGGAGGGCCGGGCCGAACCGGTGGGCGTGGGCGCCGGGCCGGGCGGGAAGGTCGCGCGCCGGCCGGGTCTGGGAGGCGGAGACCATCCCCGCCTTTGTGTGGGCTGGGCGCCTGGCCTCGTGGCGGCGGGGTACGAGGGGACGCAGGGCGCGGGCTCCTGGGCAGCGGGAAATTGGTTGGCGGGAACGGAGAAGTTGGGGCACTTGGGGCTGCTGCGCGGGCGGGAAGCCGAGGGCTTCAGTCCCCTCCCCGCACTCTCCTCCGGGCCCAGAGGAGCCAAGGGTCTTGCCGTGCCTGCGAGGGAGGGAGACCCCTGGAATAAGACTCACGGGCTGGTGTCTGTTCTCGTGCTTTCTCCACTTTCCAGCCGAAACAACTACCTGACAAGTGGCAACATGACCTTTTCGACAGCGGTTTTGGGGGAGGCGCCGGTGTGGAGACCGGCGGGAAGCTGCTGGTGTCCAATCTGGATTTTGGAGTGTCGGACGCTGATATCCAGGTGAGGGACGCGGGCTTCTCGGTCAGCAGTTCACCCGCGCCGAGTGGATGGTGCTGTTTGTGATGTGGCCCTGGACCCCTTTCCTCCTCTGGAGAGTGGGCCCTCCCAGGGACCCAGGGGGCCGTGTCCCCGCTAAGGGGCTGCTGGAGTACCAGGCAGAGGTCCGGCTGGAGTAGAGCCTCCGACAAGTAGGTCGGTGCGCCTCGGGAAAGGCCGCCAGCCTGGTCCGAGGAGCTGCCGCCCTTCCTGCTACAGCGTCCTGCGGGCGAGCGTCTCTGCCGGAGCTTCCTGTTTCTAGCGGGACGCAGTGCTCCAGTGAGAGTGGTTCCTCTGCCCCGCAGAGCCGGGCTGCTTGCGTGCTTGCGTGACCTGGTGGCCGGGTCACGGTTTGTGGGGAGGAGAAGGAACGCGCTCGCAGAGCTGGCGGCACAGGGGCCAGAGCGGGCGCGTCTCCGGCTGCTTCCCCCCTGAGCCCCGTGTCCTGTCTGTGTTGCTTCACTTCCCACCGCTCCCCAGGTCTCGTCAGGGGCCTGGCTTTCAAACCCAGTTTGGGTTGAAGTCTCTAGTTTTTAATTTTTATTGCCATCAATAGAACCCCAGAGGCGTTTAAATTTGTTCTCTGGTTCAGCGGTGACACCCTGGGGGTCCGGGCGCTGGGCCGTCCTGGGCTCAGCTTCCCAGCGCTCAGCTGCGGGAAGACAGAGCGAGGCTGGTGAGCACTCACAGTGTCTCAACGCTTCTTTTAAGGTGGTTTCTGGCCTCCACTGGAAACCGCTTTTGGTGACCTCCACTTCCCGCTGGGTGCCTGCGGCCGGAGTAGCCCCACACTCTGGGTTCCCTCTCCATCTCCCAGCCTGCCTGAGGTCAGGGCAGTTCCCATGGCAGCGCTTGACTTCAGACTTTGCGGCAGGCTTGAGTAGGAGGAGAGGGAAAGGTGAGCCAGAACTGCCCCGGGGGAGGGGCTGGGTCAGGGCTCCCAAACCGGCGGGCCCTCTGAGCCGGTCTGCCTGCCGGAAGGCGTCCCGTGTTGTGTGGTTTGGGCCTTTGCTGGCCGTCGGCACAGCCCTCGGGTGTCTCATGGCCTTTGCTGGAGAAGACAGAGACTTCGTTGCGTGCCCTTCAGTGACGGGCTTTGCGGTCCTTTACCTGCATCGGGTGCAGACGTCCGGCCCCCAGGTCGGCCAGGGCGCTCAGGCCCGGTGCTCCTGGAAGTTGCCGTCCCGCCTGCCCCACCCCCTACGTCTCCCAGACCACTGTCCTGCCCCCGTGTATCTGTCTGCCTCCCAGGGAAGCACCCTCAGGGTAGCTCGCACGCCCTGGGCCTGGCCCTGGGCCGCCGCGAAGAAGGCGGCCCGGCTGACGGTTGCGTTCTCTGATGCCAGGAGCTCTTCGCTGAGTTCGGGACACTGAAGAAGGCGGCCGTGCACTACGACCGCTCCGGCCGCAGCCTGGGCACGGCCGACGTGCACTTCGAGCGGAAGGCAGACGCCCTGAAGGCCATGAAACAGTACAACGGCGTCCCCTTGGACGGTGAGTCCGGGGCTGGGCCCGGGGACCCGAGAGGCTGGGGTGTGTCCGTGCGGGAGTGTGGCTCGCCCCTCTGGCCAGGACACGGTGCAGCCGCCCCTCGTCTCTCGCCCATGCTGCCGCCTCTCGTGCTGCCCCACACATCTGGCCGACCCCTCACGAACCCCGTCCAGCAAGCTCCTCCCCTGCCCTTTCCGAAAGACCCAGGCTGGAAGTCTTCTCAGAACCTCTGTAGTGCCTCTTGGGGTGCTGGGCTACAGTCACAAAGACAGAGGACCGCTTCTCCTTCTGTCGGGTCGCCCACACCTGGCATCCGCTCCTTCCCCCGACCCCTGCGTGGCCAGGCCAGCTGCTTTGGTGGGGGCGTCGGGGGCATCCGGCGCCCTGCCTGGGGCCTGCAGGGAGACGGTGTGGCGCCCCGGGCAGGGCTCCGGCTCTAACAGCGGCGCCGCTCTTTCCCTGCCACAGGCCGCCCCATGAACATCCAGCTCGTCACGTCACAGATTGACACACAGCGCAGACCGGCACAGAGGTGAGCGCGGGGCGTCCCCCGCGGCCGGCCCGGGGGGCGGAGCGCGGCGCCAGGCCTCCGTGTGACCACACCCCTTTTCCTCGCCAGCGTAAACAGAGGCGGGATGATCAGGAACCGCGGCTCCGGGGGCTTCGGGGGCGGCGGCGGCACGCGGAGAGGCGCCCGCGGAGGCAGCCGGGGCAGAGGCAGGGGCGCCGGCCGGAGTTCGAAGCAGCAGATCTCCGCAGAGGAGTTGGACGCCCAACTGGACGCTTACAACGCGAGGGTGAGTCCCGGGGCGGGCGGCCAGGGCTGGCCTGGGCCGGACTGGGGCGGTCGGGGCCCCCAGTGAGCGCGCCCCTCTCTCCCTTGCAGATGGACACCAGCTAGAGCGCCGCCGAGGCCGAGTGCGGAGCCCGGCCCAGACGCCTCGTCCCCGCGCCCGCCGCGGGTGGGCCGGGCTGTGTGGCTGACGATGGATTTGTTTCTTCTGTTTTAAAATAGGATTTAAAATTCATGTAAAGGTTTTTCTTTTTTTTTTTTCTTTCTTTTTAATTCTGAAACCGACCTGTTTTGTACCGAGTTATTTTTGGGATAAACTTTACTGGTTGCTGTTGTGGGGGAGGTGGCCTGCGCACCTCTGCCCTAATAAACAGACGCGTGTGTAGAACTGGAGCTCTGGTCGTCCCTGGGGCGGGGCCTCGCCTGGGGCTCTGGGAGCGGGGAGGGGACCTCCTGGCGCCTGGCTTCCTGGCAGGTGTTCGGCACTAGTGGGGGCTCGCCTCTCCATCTGTCCTGCAGGCCCTGACCCCCTCCCCCTGGCCTGGGAGGTGGGGGACGTGCAGCCACCTGTCTGCTGCTGCCTGGGGCGGCCGCAGGGGCTGCCACCAGGTCCCAGGTGACTGGGTCGGGCTGTGGTCCTCTGCTGCCCGGGTTCTCAGGAACCTGGCGTCAGCGGCTCTGACTCTGCGACGCCGTCCCCTTGTGGTGCATGGCTCGGGGTGTCTTCTCGGTGCCAGTGGCGGAGACAGCTAGTGGGAGCCGGCAGTGCCCCCTCTGACACACAGTGTGGGGAGGACTGGCGGTCACATGTGTCCCTGAGCGCCCTTGGGACGCAAAGAGTGGGCCGGGACCACGCTGGGGGTGCACTTCGGGGGCTGAGGCCCCCGAGGGAGACCGTGGCAGGAGCACTGCCTCACCCGTCTGCGTCCTCTCCCGGGCCCACCCAGCCTTCCGGCCGGGGCCAGAGCGAGGCGGTTGCAGTGGGAAGGTACATCCACACCTGCTCTGCCTGGCCTCTCGAGGGGGGGCCACCTGCAGCTCAGGCGGCTCCTGGGCCCCCACAGGGCTGGAGGGAGCCTCGCAGGAGTGTGGCCCAGGGCAGCCCTTGAACTGCCCGCTGCAGCCCTGCCACTGGGCCGGAGCCTCACCAGCGCTGAGCGGCCCTCGGGCGTCAGACACCTGCCTTCAGGTGCTGTGGCCCGAGGGATGGCTGTGGGAGGGGTCGGGCCGCCCGGCAGGGCAGGGCGAGTGTGTCCCTGCGGAGGTGGCCCTGGGCTGAGCAGGCATGGGCCGGGCAGGGCTGTCACCGGACCGCAGGCCACACCCACCTTCAGCCAGTGTCCCAGTCGCCGGGGTCGTAAAGGCTTTTCCCGGTGCACGCGGAGAGGGTGCCGAGCCACTCTGGAAAGGCCGTGCCACCGGGCCTGGTTTGACCCATGCACTGGTGCGCCCACTGTGACACCACTGTTCCCTGACGTTCCTGCCGGTGGGAGCTGCTCCCTTCTTGCAGGGGAGCCCCCCAGTTTCTCTGCTGTGAGGCTAACATCCTTCCCTTGGTAATCCACAAACGTGGGGCAGCAGCTTTGAAACCGAGTGAACCCCATTTCTTCAGTGCTGTCTACGAACTGCAGCCCCCTGCAGCGCAGGATTGGGGGTGCGGGTTAGCGGGGGGTTGGGAGGAGCGGCCTCTCCCCGCCCGCCGTGGGTTACTGTGCCAACTCGGACTTGCTGCTCTCTGCTGACAGCGATCA